GGTCGGGTCTCTGTGACTGACTCCATCCAACTCCATCCGATGTTCACCTGTCCGACGTCTAATTGAAGCCGAATCATTATCCTGGCTGGAGTCCACGGTTCATGTTTCATGCTGACTGTTGAATGTTAAATGTTCCATTGAACCCGCGTCGCGTTCCAGGGAATGGAGCTGCATTTGTATTTTTTTCAAGGCTTAATTTGTTAATTTTTTAAGTGAAATGTGAAAATGTGGAACTCCCAGAGTAGTACTCTAGAGATGGCGATGTGAGGCGTGAAAGCGAACGGATTAGTAGATGATTCCCAGGTGCAAATCTCTTACGTGTCACGCTGGCATCCTATACCAACAGTTTTTTCGTGGGGTTTCTGATTCTGATGCGGATTCGGATTCGGTTTCGGGCAAACAAACAGATCGACAAACAGACCTGCGGGAGGGCCAGGCAAACAAAATCAAATTGTTGCTGTTTGTTGACCTACGAAGTTCCAGTTCCCCATCTTCCCTCCCTCCCTTCCTCCGTCCGTTCCGTTCCCACTTTATTCTTATTTGTTTTCATTTTCGTTTTCATTTCTTGGCAAACGCGAAGAAACGCTGCTTTCGTTCGCACAGATGTGTCTGTCTGGGGAAATTAACAAAGCCGCAGGTGTAGGTGAGCTGCCCCTGAACCCTGCCACTGCCCGTGCCCGTAATGAAATATGAATGGGAGGGGGGGGGCGTGTCCTTCTCCTTGAACACTCGAACAGCAGCATTAAACGTCAAATGTCAGCATAAACGTCAGGACTCTCAAGGGTTGAGCACCAAGCATACGCAACGCTGAGCAGAGAAACAATAAATTCTCGTTTCCTCTACCCCTTCCTTTTTTCTGTTCAGCCAGCTCTCAGTTAATTATCGCGAGCCACTGCATCGCTAATTGGAGTGTAACCTTCCAGGAAAGAGAGCCACCAGCCACGAGGCTGCTTTATTTTTTATTTTTGGCATTTCTGTTTACATTTAGCTAAATCCCCAGAAGGGCATGTGATATTCTTTGCCACAAGAAAAATTCCTTTAGTGTCGCTTTATAATTGCTTAAGCTTTGATTTCGATTTTCTCAACGTTAGTCTGTCCCTGCACTTCAGGTGCCTGTCTGTCTGTTCGTTTCATGTCTGGATTTTTCCCAACACGCCATTTCTGGCTACATAAATTTAAATTGAATTTTAAATATTAACAAGCCAAGAACAACTTAAACGAGAAAGAAAGAAAGAAAGGAAATCGCTACAGCGGTAGTGTGCCGGGACTCCGGATACTCTCACGGGTCGTTCCTTATGCGGAATATGCTGAAATCCACTCAAAACAATCATACCCCTCCATATGGCAAGGGCAGAGGGTAGTACAAGGACCGACTGTCGTCTGTGTCTGCCTAATAAATGCGTTTGCTGTGCCATCGATTTTTGGCTCGTTTGCCACACATTTTCGTCTCGAGTTTATAAATATTTATGCGTAGCATTTTGGGGGCTTGCTTAACTCATGATTTTGGTCTGGTCTGGTTTCTCAGATAATGGACGAAATGGTCGCGTGGGGGGCGGAAGGGAAAACTATAAGTTAATGCGAAGGGAAATGCATAATGGATGCAGGATGAATGATGGATGAGGAGCGGGCTGGGATGGGATGGGATGGTCAAGCCATCATATTTATGACAGAATGTTGACAGAGCAATGAACAAATATCAATTTATGGAAATAGGCGCTCGCTCACCTGGTGCTTCTGGTTCCAAGGGACAAATCGAAGTCCCATGTGACGTCACATACATATGTAATCCTTATTTGTATCATCGCTGAAGCCTCGATTTTCCATTCTCTATTTGTGACGTCACATGCATATGCATGTGCATGTGCTTGTACATATGCATGCATACATATGCATAAGCCGGTTCTAAGCTGCTGTCTCAGCCGCGGCTGCAAAGAAAAACGAGGGGGAACGTTGTGAGTTGCTTCGGAGACCGCAACTCTACGGTTATACCCGATACTAAGTCAGTATGGCTCTCCTCCAGCAGGCGGCGTCTAATATTAAACGACACGACAAAGAGTGCGTGCGAGAGAGACAGAAAATCAGTCTGAGCGTGACGTCGGCCGCTGCGTAGCCACTGCAAATTGATTTGTTCCTTTTGGCTATAAAAATGATCTGATCTGATCCAGATTCAGTAATCTGATAGATATGGTCATTATCTATGATTCTGCGTTTTTAGTTTTCTCAAATCTGCAATATTGTGGATGCAACAGATTTTCGTCCTTTGTGGGGGCGGAAGGGGGTGCGGCGAAATTTTGAGATATACGTTTTATAGTGAGATCTAACAGGAGTGCGGATACTAAATTTGGTTACTCTAGCTTTAATAGTCTCTGAGATTTGTGAATATCCCCAGATTTGCATCCTTTGCGGGGGCGGAAGGGGGTGTGGCGAAATTTTGAAACAAACTCGTCTCGGTCCGATATATTAGGAGTGTGGATACCAAATTTGGTTGCACTAGCTTTTATAGTCTCTGAGATCTAGGCGCTAATGTTTTACTCTAAGCAAAGCCGCCTATGCTACGTGTGTGTTAGAGAGAGACAGGGCGAGAAAAAATGAAATTGTTTTCTTGATGCTGGCTATAATAATAATACGATCCAATTCAGATTCCGTAGTTTAAAAGATATCGTCATTCTCTACGATTCTGCGTTTTTGGTTTTCTCGTATCTTTAAAATTGTGGATGCCACAGATTTTCGCCCTTTGTGGGGGCGGAAGTGGGCGGGGCAAAGTTTTGAAATATTTTTGTAGCAGTGACATATCACAGAAGTCTGGATCCAAAACATCGTTGCTCTAGCTCTTATAGTCTTTGAGCATTAGGCGCTGAAGGGGACGGACAGACGGACAGACGGACAGACGGACAGACGGACGGACGGACAGACAGACAGGGCTCAATCGACTCGGCTATTGATGCTGATCAAGAATATATATACTTTATGGGGTCGGAAACGATTCCTTCTGGACGTTACACACATCCACTTTTACCACAAATCTAATATACCCCAATACTCATTTTGAGTATCGGGTATAAAAAAAGAAAATCATCATTTTTCTACATAATAGGGTTTAGATAAAGTTAGATAATATAAACCCAAACACGAACAGTGATTGTTTCACATTTTACCGTATTTATCAAATCATTTACACGATTTCGAGCCAAATCTGCGACACTTTTTTCGGCTGCTCGCTTTGTTGTTGTTGCTGTCAGATGCTGTTATCGATCACTGCTTCATTCGAATGAACTGCTTCAAGAGGTTCTTTGAACTCAGTGGCAAGTGGTTCATTAAATCAAACTGAACTGAATGATCGATTGCTGCGATCGAAAATTTGAATTTGAATTTAAATTTGAAATCAATCCCATTCAGGTACGCTTCTCTGCTCTCTGTTCTCTGATTAGCTCTGCTTTTAGGGGGCGAGGCGGCTTATCCGCACCCAATTACCAGCGGAAGCTCATCAATTTTTCAAGAACTCGTGACAGCCCAAAGCGACTTTTGCTCACATTATCTATCCCACTGTCGGTATGTTGTCAGCAGAACAGCAGTACAGCAGCAATAACAAGACACATGTAGCGGTGACTTAATTACCAGCCGCAAGCTGTTGCCATTAACAACAACTTTTGGGAATGGGTATGGGGATGAGGTCGATAAGCAGCTTTAGGCTTAGGTGTGGCAAAGGAAGTGGATGTGGTGCTCCAGAGACTCGTTTCAATTATGTTGTCAAAAGCCAAAACCAAACGACTGGCTGACTGCAATTTATAGTCCAATTAATTGAGGCCACATAACCGCAAATGCAGAATTAAATGATTACAAATCCAATGCTGGCTTGCCCTTGTCCTGTCGTACCACAGATGAACCTGATATCCTGATGTCCCGATGGCTGAGTGAGTGGCAGCGTGCAGGCAAGTTTGTTTCCAAAAAAGGATTTCCATGTCGAGATTTGTCGAGAGGAGAGTACGACTGGCAGCAGCTGCCAGGAACAGAAAGAAAGTAATTTAAATTTGTAAATCGATATGGTTGACGGCGCAGGGAACCGAACCCTTTTTTCTCTTTTTTGGCACCCATTTGAAAATTTATAAATATTTTAACTTAATAAATGCGACGCCAGCGGCTGTCTACTCCCGCTCTAGGAGCCCTCAGCAGCTCCTGAAAAGAGCAAATGCCCAACATTTGCATAAACTAAAGGGGAAACTTCCACGCGCCTCCCATCCCCTCCACCCAGCCTCTCAAGTGTTCTCTATTGTGGCTCCGGCTCCGGCTTGGGCTTCGGCTCGGGCTATGGCTCGGGCTGTGGCTGTCCTTTTCGTGAGCCTTGGCAAACATTCTCAAGTTGGCTGTCGAGTGAGCCGCGGGCGCTTTTCGCTTTACGCCTTCCACCTTTGCTCTCCTCATTGTCGAAAGGAAAGAGTTTTCCCAGCAATGCTCCCGGTTTTCCAGGTTAACTTTACAGCAGCTTTAACGGCTAATGGCCGCTGAGCTCCGTCTGAGCAGGCTTTAAGCTGTTGCCCTGGCCAGGACAGAGCATTGCCGGGCCTTTCCTCCTCCTCCATTTGGTGGCGGCTCTCGTTTCATTGACCCAAAATGCAAATTGACTGTGAAACAAATGTAGAAGTTCTTTGGTTTGGTTTGGTTTTGTTTGGGATGATCTGTATCCCACAGATACCACCACCGAAAAATAGACATAGAAAACTTTTACATTCGCATAAAAAAAAACGAAATCGGAAATCAGGAGTCAAGCACCAGGAACAAAAACTCAATGAAGCTGCCACAATTTATGGCTCAACATATCCTATATGGCATATGGCTGTACTTTTCGCTATAAATTATTCTCAGCACAGAGAAGCAGAAGCAGAAGGACTACTCCTCGCCGCCTCGCACACATAAAATATTATACATGAGTGGCTTTTATGCAAAGAAGCTGTATGGCAAATGGAGACACACCCCGCACAGCAGCCCTTAAAATTTGTTAGAACATGGCCGAGAGGCGAGAGCCGAGCGTCAAGAGAGAGCAACAAGTTAGGGCCAAGTTAAGAAAAAGAAATATTGTGCGGCGGCAAAACTTTAAGAGCAAACGGAAATTGTTGGCCGCCCTTTTAGGTCGAGACAACCAGACAACCAGGGAATGATTTATCTTCTGCGTTAGTGGGTGAGGAAGGGAGGGATAATCATAACCATAACCATACCCCCTCCATTCCATTGGAGCTCGCATTCATTAACAATTCATTAAATGCCACCAGCAAAAAAATAAACTCCACCTAATCGCGGAAATTTATCCTCGAAAGTGAGGGTGTTCGAAGAGGTCTCTCCATTCGATAAAGACATTTGATAAAGCAAGAAAAGAAGCCAGAAATAGGCCAGAGATTGCTTATACAAACACATTTTAGAGCATGTGCAGAATCTTATATTCAACTTGAACAGAGTATTTCGCAGGTCCCCTTGTGAGTTTTTCGAGCATTACAGCAAAGCCGCAGACTCGTATGTACATCATGTAAAAAGTGTAAAAATTAAATATGCACAATTATAATTATGACTATTTAATGGGGCGACGCGACGCAGCGTTTGTTTAACCAAAAGGCAAACAAATTGGGGAAAATTGGGGTGGGAAATGGGCAAAAACACAATCAATAAGTAATTTCCGCAACAAGTTCTGATGACAATTTCATTGGCTCTGACACGTGTGACAGGCTGGAAAACACTCGTAAATATTGTAATTATTCATAAATATCAAATGAAGCTGCTCTGATAAATTAGCCGTATGTATTTATAGAAATACTCGTATCGAAGCAAAACAGAGCCTTATATAGCGCTCTCTTCAGGTAGAGGCCTACCAGAAACTCTTCCGCCAATTGACACCTCAGAAAAAATAAACAAACAAAAAACCAAATAGAAATAAATACATAGACGTAGAAATAGAAATAAAAGAAAGAAAGGTCAAGCCTCGGAGCGAGGGCCAAGAGATGAGAGCCATGCCACTTGACATTGTCCAAAAGCGAAACTGAAGCAAGAAAATACCCAGAGCTCCGTCGCTGACTCTGGCTCTGCCTCTGCCTCTCGAAAACCCACTCCACAGAAGAGGTTTCGTTTCGTTTTTGGCTTTTTTTCGTTTTGTTTCTCTAATTATGAGACTGGGGCTGGTGCTGGGTTCCAAAGATTTTTGGATATAAATTGAGCAACTGGCAAGCAGAAAGGCATCAATCCGCTCAGGCAACAGCAGCACTTGCAGCACGCAATCAGCAAATTTCCGAAAAACCAAATCTTGAAAAATGGTGAGCTAAAAACTGAACCTGCAGGATTAGGATTATCTCCTGGACATCGGCACGGGTTTCCTGAATCTCCTCTCTTTTCTTTCGAACAGAAAATCTTCTCGCTCGGTAGTGTCCTCGCCCTCTCGGCTGTGGCTAGTGCCGCTCTGGCTGCCCCTCAACTGGAGTCTCGTCTGCGTCGGGATGTCTCTGAGCTGGTGGATCCTGCAGGAGCAGCACCCGTGGAGTATCTGCCACCAGGCATCACCGAGGCTGCTCTGCTAGAGGATGTAGTCGAAGCTGAAGCTGATCCCCAAGGCACTGTCCTAGGCGGCGAGGGCTACGAGTACCGCACTGTGCGCCGCCTGAAGCTCCGTCATCGCAACCGTCGTGACGTCTCCCACTTGCAGGTGGCTCCTGCTCGTCAGTATCTGCCTCCCAGCCAGGCCTATCTGCCACCAGCTCCTGCTGCTCCTGCTGCTCCTGTTGCAGCACCCATCGATGACACCGAGGAGGTAGTCTCTGCCGCCGAGCCGAAGCTGGCGCTTGCCCGCGAGTATCTGCCGCCCGTGGAGGTGAGCACTGAGGCAGCACCCCAGGAGGAGACCACCCCCCTGCCGGAGGAGCCCGAGGCCGATGTTCGTGTGGTGGATGTCCCCACCAATGGAGCCGGGCAGCTGCTCGACGATGGCTACCACTACCAGCAGCCCGCGGAGATGCCCGCAGAGCTGCGCGAGGCGGCCCGGGAGTATCTGCCACCTCTCGAGGATGAGGCTGTAGTCGTAGAGGGTCCTGCCGATGGCCAGAGTGCGGTCCTGACCAACGATGGCTACCAGTACCGGGCCGTCAGGCGTTACAGATTTTAAATATTTCATTTTTTTGCCGATTTACATTCACTTTTCTTGTTTTTTTTTTTAATTTTTTTTTGTTGATTTTTAAATAAAGTTGTAAAGTTTTTAAATGCTAAAAAGAAGAAGAATTTAACGGAAGAAAATATTATTTTAGCTTCAAGCGTAAGTTGGCTCATCATTTGCGCATGTACTTTCCTTATTTTCCCTGCAAATATTACGCATACGCAATGCGGACCGGCCCTAATTAGAAGACAGTAAATATCCAGCAAGCAGGCACTTGATTACCAGACTCGAAATTCGGAATCATTAAGCGCAGCAGACAACAGGAGAACAACAGCAGGCGCTTTTTGGACAATCAAAGTCTGCCCCAAACAAACTTCACATTACGTATACGCCGGGGATGGTCATATTCCACGGATCTCCCCTGCTCGTGCTATGTATCCTGCTGCTCCTGCCGAGTCTGGCTTAGTGTTAGTGGCAATCAAAGGTAGAAATGTCTATGTCCCTCGCCAATTAGATGGATTTACGAGCATGTGGCAATCCCTCCCTCATTCAGCCAGCACGCAGCACCTGCTCTCTTAAGCCTTTCGATATGAGAATAATTGCAGCTCTTTTTATGGCTCATCCTTCTCCTGCTCCTCACTCTGGTTTGGGTTGCCATGACCGCCTTTGGGGCGGCTTAATTAATGCACTTGCGCGTTAATTCAACTCAATGGCAGGAGGCGGTCCTGGTGTTTTCAGGCAGCCAGAAGAACAGCATTAAGTGCTCACTCAAGTTAAATTACTTTGACTGATGAATGGGAGGAGCAGCAGGAGCAGTAGCTGCAGCAGCAGCATCAGCAGGGCGTGCAGGACAGAACCCATCCAGGAAGAGAAGCAGATAATGACCGTCTCGACATTTTTACAGGCAGCATGAAGCGATTTCTGCTTGAATACGCTTCATTCGTTGATTCGTTCATTCACATTTTTTGTTGGTCCCTTTTTAATTATTAAATCAATTGTGCGAAATTCAATTAAAATCTTTGCACAGCAGTAGGGACATGCCGTCGATTCGCATCGCATCGCATTGCATCGTATCGATGCCTGGAGCATGCTCAATTACATTCCGACATCTGTACAAATATGATAAACTTCCAGCATCGTATCGTTTGCAGCTTGTTTATTTTCGGGATCCGACCCCTCAAAGGGAATGGGGATGCGATGGGGAATGGTGGTTGGGATGGCCACTCTGCCTTTGACAGCCCGCTTATTGCATAATGTCACAAAACTGTCTCGAGATACATCGCAAAAATCAAGAGCAACAAGCGGCCACAATCTTTTCGTTTCGTGTCGAGAAAGGACATTCGTGAGGGACAAGCCCAGAAAAGGACTTACCAGGGAAGGGACACAAACGATTTCAGATACGCCCTGAAAACAGAAAATGGAATTTCGCCCTCAGGTAATCAATTTCACTTGTGGAACGAGCACTGCACACACCGCGAGGCAGGATATCCCATATACCATATAGCATGTCCCATATATCCCATATCCTCTCTGTAAGTGACAGCCTCTCGCCCTGTGAAATGATATTAAAAGTTATTGTGCATATTTATAAATTTAATTTCACAGAGATACAGAGCAGCAGAAATCACTGCAGGACATTTCCGAGGTGGAGCAGCATCGTAAATGGCAGGAATTCCATTCCATGCGCTCAATATTCTTATGGTTTTTTAACATCTCTCCAGCCTCCCATCTCCGTTGTTCCCTCTGTCTCTCTGCCTCTGGTGCACATTTCATACACGCTTTGTCTCTTAAGCGGCGGTTATAAAAACAAAGGATACCAGAGATACTCGCACGACAAGATACTCGTACTTTCAGTACAGAAGTGTCGCGTCGGTCGCCCCGTCAAGTGGCGGAATTTAATGGTCGTCGAGGTGGGGGCAGCTCTGAGTGGCATATGGTAGAGAGATGCTGGCCTTACAGGTGCAACATTTGGCTCTGACTAATTGAGTGCCTGAAATAAAATTGAAAGGCAGCAATGTGTCTAATTTCTGTCAATGTTTTGTAGGCTCTCAAAATAAAGGTAGTTGATGGCAGCAGCTTCAGGTAGAAAATAATTGCAGTAGGAAAATCTTTCATAGCAACCACATTGTCACCTGACATTGATTATTTGTGTTCACACTCATTAAGCATGCACTCATAATTCGCTCATTATTATTCAATAATATTAAATCAACTCAGACAATGGACAGAAACAGGGACAGGGATTAAATGTCAGCAACAATCTGGATTGCAGTCGGCTACAGCGAAAGCATAAGCAACAAAAACCATTTACTCAGGCTACTCGTATTTTTTTTGTGCCTTTGGCCAGGGATTTTATGTAATGCAAACACTTTGACTTAATTAAAATGGCAATGGCAAACAAAAGGCTGCATTTCACTGCATGGGGAAAAAGAGAGGGAAAACCCGAGCAAACAATGAAGAAAATACATTGTTTTGATAACTTGGACACAAAATTGGCTTTCCTCGGCAGAACAGAACAGAGTCCCAACTAAAATTACAAAAATTTTTGTAGTCAGGCTATTAATTTTCTAACGCAGAGGCCAAGAGAAAGATACGAGTATATTGTGCGCCCTGTTCTCGGTTACGTTTTTTGGTGAAATTACCAACACTCTGATGGTTTTGTATACAAAAGATTACTTTAATACTCGCCGAAGACTGTGTACATATATTGTTGTTGGTTTCTGGGATCTGGAAGTTGACTATTTGGAAGCCGTTTAGCCTTCATATTTAATGACTGCCAGCGAGAATCAAATAGTGGTATTGACTGATCCGACTGCTGGCCACGTCAAAGAAGCTCCGATGAAATCATAGCCATCTTCTTCTTCCAGTTTTCCTCTCTGACGGCTAAGCGCTATAAGGAAACGCACAGGCAAAAGATTGGTAAGACTCGCTCGTCTCTGACGAGGACGGAGAAGATGAAGAATGAAACCACCTAATAAATAAATATATTTTAATGTTTTATATTTATATGTACCATTTTGAGAATATATTTTAATGTTTGGAATTTAGTTTGGTCACAAGTTATGAGAAGAAATCAAAACGGTGGCCACAACCGAAGTACTTTCTTCCCAACCTAAAATTGATCACGTCCACTTGCGTACAAATTGTGGCTGAAATGGAATCGGGAACATGGCATGGCATGTGGCAGGTGTGTGCTAGTTTTGTGGCAAAATGAAAGGTTGCAATGAAAAATGATTTCCAGCAGTAGTTTGGGCTCCAGTTTGGGGCCTTGGCTATGCGACTCTGCTTTTTGTACCCTTGCAACGTACGCAACCCAAAATTCATGTTACACAAGCCTGATGCTGATGCTAAATGATGGAATACCTAGATGTGGGCTCCTCTGGTGGTCGGTTTTAAGTGAACAGAGTTGGGAGAACATAACCACTCTCTAATTAGTGATGCGAAAATGTTGTGTCCATAACTGCTGTCCGTTTGACCAACTCTGGGTAATCCAAGCCGGCACTGCTGACCATTAAATTTTATCCCGGCTGGCAAACAAGGCCTAATAATTAACCAATTACCTGGCCGCACTTCAAAGCACTCCTGCTACCCCGAAAATCAAGTTGGTCGGTTCTTGGGTTACACACTCCCAAATCCCAAACTCCCGTCTACCATCTCCCATGGTTTCTATCCAAAAGTCCTTGCCTGTTGCTGGTTGCTGGCATTTTGACCAGAGGCCACAAAACTTTCTGCTTCCATGGGTTTAGTGGGTGTGGGTGTGGGTGTGGGGTGTGTGGTGTGGGATGTGGGCTGTGGGGGTAGGAATTGCTTATTCATAGCTCACTGACACACAAATGAGCGGCCATTAACGAGCTCCTTGATGGAACTTTTCAAGGGGCTTGGGTTTGGGTTTGGGACTCTAGAGATAGTGGAAGCCTCTGCAGTGGACAGCAAAGATTAACCCGGATCAAATGTTGCCAAAAACGAATGAAAAATAACAAGTGAGCAATAGACTTGGACTTGGAGTCATAGTTGGAGTTCTATTCTGTTTTGCTTAATTTTTTGAAGAATGAATCGACAAGAATTATAGATGATGTTGCCCCGAAATGTATAAATAAATGGGCTTCCAGTGGATATTTATAGACAGCAAAGATTAACACGGCTCTAATTTAAGCCACAGAAATGTTGCATGCCTTAAATTCTTCGAAGAAATCTCACATTATTTATGGATGAAATGTTTTATGCCCTCAAAGACTTTTCACTTTTCGTGGGAGTCTTTTAAACTAATGAAAATGAGAGAAAAGTGCCAGCATCTACTCTACTCGTATCTCTACTTTCCAGCGGGAGGAGACTTGTGCGTGTCCTTGAATAGATATCAAACTGCTTTTCGGGGCGGGGGTGTCGTATGGATGGCAGAAGAAACATATAAACACGTACGCTGGCCCAACTATGAGAAACCCCTGGACCATTTCAACCCCTAAAGCAGCAGTAGGAGCAGAAGCAGAAGCAGGTGCCCATCAGAAAGCCCCCCGGCCCCAGCAGTGAAATAAAAAACGCATATTGCGTAAATTTCGATGTCAAAGGCGAAGGTATCCGCAGGTCGCAAAAGTCGGAGATTCCGAATAGGGACCATTGCCAGAGCCAAAGCCAGAGCCCCAGCCAGAGTCAGGTGCGTGTGCGGCACTTATGAGTGGCACTTAGTCTGGCCTAATACCCATCATTAGAGCATTTAACAGGAAACACGTGACACTGCATGGCAGCCATGCCTCCACCCCCTATGCTTCTCGTGGCTTCACAGAGACACAGAAGTTGGAACAGAACACTTTAAAAATGCCCATTTCACACTCCAAAGGATTTGACAAAGCTGGCTTTTAAGGCCCTGGAAGTGGGCTACAGGCTGTGGGCTCTCTTCCAGCAGCCAGTACTCCAGCAGCAGCCGACACCCGGGACCTAGACACACAGTGGTTCAGTGAGATGCCACGCTGATTTTGCTTTTGCTCAGGAAATGTAATTAATTCGAAATTATTCCACAATCTAAGCTGAGAATAAACGACCTTCTTGTACCGTGGAATTAGGTGAGACGATTTAGGGTGTTTTCTTTTTGGTGACTTAACGCGCTTTTGGCAACCGATTAAGCTAATAGAAGCTTCTGCTTTGTTTGTTATGCTGGATTTGCTGTATACTAATGCAATAACAAAATTGAGAAAACACTTCTTCAATCATTTGGTTGATCTGCCCGGATTCAATGAACATATGTAGATACATCGTATGCCAAAGAAGAGCCACAAAAAGAGGAAAGCAATGTGTGCCGCTGGCTGATAAAAAGAGGGGCCTGGTTATCTAAAGGAAAGAGGAATCTCTGCTAATTTAATTGTGTTTGAGTTTTCGGTAAGGCGCGCAAAATGAGCAGTGTTGTAAATTGGCCGTTTGATGTCATATAAATCATATAAACAACTTTTGGTTAATTTATTTTGTGGAGCCATTGTTTTCGCGTCTAACAGCACCTAGTTCTGCAACGGAAGTTAAATTTACATTTACATTACAGATATTGAGTACATTCAAGCAGTGGAACCTGTTAAGTTCTTGATCTTTGGCGGTAAATAAAATAAACCCAAATTTAAACGTCTCATCTCATACATGCAACCATAATATGCCACAGCGAAACGTGGCCCAGACACACAATGGTTCATTGCGATGCCGCGCTTATTTTGCCTTTGCTCAGGATATGTAATTCATTTCAACTTATTCCACAATCTAAGCTAATAAACGATTTTCTGGTACCGTGAGATGATTTAGGGTGTTGTGTTTTTTGGTGCTTTTAAATGTTTTCTTCAACCGATTAAACAAATGGATAACAATACAGTAATAAAATTCATAATAAGCTTTTTAAATACAATTTGGTTGACCTGAACTGTTTGGATTCAATAAAGATCTATCCAGATACATATATCCCACGCCAAAAAAAAAATCATGCAAAAAAGAAGCCACATATTTATGGCTGCCTGATAGGAGGCCCGTCACTTTCGCTATCTAAAAGGAAGGGAAATTTTAGTTAAATTTGTTTATGGTTTTTGTATTTCCCGCAAGGTACGCAAATGAGCGGTGTTGTAAAGTGGTCGTGCTCATATTGTTTCATTTATTCTTTGAAACTACTGAACTATGTTATTACACTGTTAAGTGCTGCTGTTTTCGCGCCTAACAGCACTCAATTCTGCTACTCAAGTTAAATTTACAGTAGATGCAAGCAGTGCTACCGCGAGACTGCTTGAACTTGGCGGTAAATGAAGTAAATTCAAATTCAAACTTATCTCTTTTTCTCCCATTACTTATGACCACATGTGGCCAGAGTGAAACGTGGCCGGGTCGCTCGTTTTTAATAATTATCCATTTTATTTAATTAATATAAAGCTATTTTGTTGACTGTAGCACTTTCAACGTACGTTAAGCGTTTAGAAAAAAAAGTTACATATTGTAGTGTCTGTGCCTGTGTGTGTGTGTGTGTGTGTGTAGGTGTAGGTGTTTTTGTGTGTGGGGGCTGCAATGTGGGCGGAAGGTGGTGCTGAGGCTGGATTAAAAGTAGAAAATTTAAATCGAAAAATACTTGAAAGACTTCCCTCGATGATGCTGCTCCATCCTCCACTTCCTCTTCCTATTCATTTGGTACGAACTTTGTACATTTTACAAACATTAAAAACTAAACCAATCCGTTTCCGATTCAGATCCAGATTAGTGCATTAAGTAGACTACAGCAGCAAGGAGGAAGGAAGCCAGGAGGGAAGACAGAGCGCCGCCAGCCAGAGAGGAGGCGCCAGAGCGGCAGAAGTACTCATCGCAGTTGGCATCAGCAAGGGTCTTGTAGCGCTGCAACACCTCCGACCAGTTGCAGAGACCAACGCTGCACCAATCCAGCTGCACGGCATCTTGGTTGAGGAAGAAGACGGCCTTCTCCTTGTCCAGGGCGGCGGGACAGTCGTACTTCACTGCCACAAAGTTGGCAGCGAACGGACCTAGAATGCTCGTCTTCCAGCGGCGGTTCGTCAGGCTGTTGTAATTGTCGGCGCGCAACTTGATGTCATCCTTGCGAACGCCCAGCGCCGTGATCAGGGTCTGCAGGCCAGTGGTGTGGCCGAAATGGGCGATCACATGCGGCGACACGGGATTGCTTAGGTGGGTGAGCATGTCCTGCACGAGACGGCAGTTAAGACGTGCCGTATCCTCCTCGAAGCCATAGCCCGATCCGTAGTAGTACTTGAGATCCTCGGCATACTCAAAGACAGTCACCTGTTCGGGCAGGAAGGCGCCGCACCAGACACTGGTGCGATCCACCTGCCATGCCTGCTCATAGCGGCACGTGTCATACATCAGCAAGATATCCGCCTGATCGAGAGTGTACAGATAGCTATATGACCCAAGGATATAATGCATTTTAAGTGTGAACTGGAAATTAAGAGCCACTTATAGCTCTTACCCCAATCGCGTGGATATATCTGCCAGGGTGCTGTTCCACAAGGCGGACTGTGTGTACTTGTGGTATTCGGAACCTTCGCCCTTGTAGTTGAGCTCCTTGTACGACTGACAGTAGTCGTAGGGACGCAGCAGGAGATCGTCTTTGGGTATGTCCACGGGATGAGCGGCATTCCCGGTGCCAAAGAGACCCTCGGCAAAGGCTTTGAAGCTCTCTGTGGTCCGCTGGGTGTCCGTGTGACGGAACTGGCAATCAAGAGAATTATTTTAGATTCTTTAAGGGAGACCTGTCTCCTCCCCTGCTCACCTGGTAATACGTATCATTGTAGTCCTTGGGCAGAACAGTGGGATAGTAGCGCTGATAGAGCTTGGCAGTGCCTCGGAGATCATCGTAGCCCTGGCTGGTCAAAAACTCATCCATGTCGGGGGTAATGCTGCTATTGCCCTTCCACAACTGAATGGCAATCAGATCCTCTGTGCACAGGGCATTGGTATCGGGCTTGGTCTTTGCCTCCCGATAGTTCTTGACAATTTGATCGCGCAGCTGAAAGCGCAGCGAATGAAGGGAAGCTCTTAAGCTTTAGAAAGTGAACAATGGAAGTGGAGTCACCGAATGAACATACCTCTATCAGCCTTGAGGCCTTCTTGATGGTACCCGATTTGGGCAGCCTGGTGCCGTGCCTGTGGAAGACCCACATCTTCTTGGCCTCGCAGCCGGGGACAAGGTACTGTTTGTCGATGTTGCTACTCTTAACGATCTGGTAGGCAGTTTTCGAGGCAAATTGCGCCGTCTGCGGTCGATCGGAATCCTTGCCAAAGCAGTAATCCTCCTGTCCATCCACCAGGAGTGGTGCCACCAGTGGCACTAGCAGCAGCAGCAGGAAACGCATGTTGTCTCTGGAGACAGAAAGACAGTCAGAGAGTTGAGTTGAGTTGAAATGAGTTAAGAAAAGGGTTGTATTCGGGCGGGACTTGGACATATCCTTGAACTGTCGCCAACCCTAATGGACAGGGAACAGGACGAGTGTCATATGTGGAGGTATACATACCATCACCACCCACAGTACCCCCACAGGAAAGCCAGAGACGGCAGGAAAGGCAGGAAAGGTGTGGCATTTAAATTGCTTCGGTGGCGTCTGGCAAGACGACTATAAAGGAGGGGCCTGGCCACAGAATCGAAGCACAGAATGGAAATTCAGTCAAAGGAAATGCCAGCACACACGCACCCACCCACACACACACACACACACACACACAATAGTAAACTCTGGGCCCTAAAAATTAGGCTAATGATTCTCTTTCTGACAAATTGCTGCAGCTCCTCCACGTGGCCTCCATATAGCATAGCACCTTATAGCCCCTTCCCCCTCCACCTTCCCCCGCCAATCACCTCAATTAGGTCAGGAGGGAAAAAGGGAAGGGTATGGCTCATAAAAGTTTGTAATGTTTCAATTTATCGTAGTATCTATCATAGGATGCCCGCATCCCATACCCCATCACCATCCCCAGCATTGATTAATCAACAGAAGGGTCTGCGGTCCACATGGTCTCCTTCTAGGGATGGATGACAATAGGTTGCTCATTAACAGACACGACAAGACACGACACACAATTCGAATGTAACTCGAGCTGATTTTAACTTGAACTTCATTTGCTAGCCGTACCCCTACCTCGAACCCCCATTGATCGAACGATCGATCAGGCAGGCCTGCCTTGTAGAATAGATAATAAAATCATATTCAAAAAAAATAACGAATAAGCTAAGATAAGCTGTTTTACAAGAACACAAATATAATACCAAAGATTATGGCATATATAATCCATAATTCCTCAATATTTGAACATGCTTTTCGAGCGTCAGCTCTGATTGGCTTCTGCTTCTAGCTCCAGTTCTCATGGGATTCTCTTAGATCTCTCAGATTTATCATCTATACATATTTGTACATATGTACATACATATATCCATATAGTTCTGGTTTAAAGCCATTCCACTCAATAATACAAAGTTCCCCAAGGGAAGGGAAGAACAGTTCTGAACAGAACTATATATAAAATGGAGGTCGATTATCAAAGAAGGTTGCATTTCAGCTGAATTTCGTGCCTAAAACAGAATTCTAATCCGAATTTTAGCTTAAATGTTTTTCCAACTTTCGAATCAAATTACATTGAATTGATTTTCCTTTTGTCCGCTGCTGTGTGACGTGGCTTTTAAATTGAAAATGCATTTGGTGGAAAGGAAAGCCTGCTTCCAAAACAAATAAATCCACTGCCAGTCAAAACAGCAGAGCAGCCACAAAAACACACAAGGAAAAACAAATAAATTGTAGCCGAAATAAAAACCAGAAATAGAACGAAACAAAACGAAACTTCTGCTCTCTGTTTTGTGTTTAGAATGAATCGTGTTTGCATCATCGATCGATTGCCATTGCCTCCAAAAATTACTCACGATTACTCTCGATTCGATGCTGCAACCTGTTGCCCCACGAGAAGAAGCTGCCTGCTGCCTGCCAGCCTGCCAGCCTGCCACAAAGTGACGTCATGGGCATTGCATTGACAGCTGCAATTAGCCTGGGAATTTATAATTACATGTATCCCCAATGGAGCCTCCCGCACCCCACAACCGATTCAACCGATCCATCGCGATGTGCTGTCATTGAGGAGCGGCAGAGCACACACGCATCTAATTTGCTCATCCATTTCCATCTTTGGATCTTTGCATCTTTTGCATTTTCAAGTGCAAATAATTGCATGACTCGCGCATCCATTGGATACACTTTTGCAGCTTCGATACGATACGATACGATACGATCCGATCTGCCCCTGCTCGAGGCGGCGCCGCCCCGCACCCCCCACCCCCCTAATCAATTGAATGCCCTGCCTTTGTTTTTCCCCACAATTTCTGTTAGTTTTTTGTGTCCGCTGTGGCTGTGTGTTTTCTCAATGCGAAATTAAAATTCCAATTCGACTGCCCCGTCGCCGTCTCGTTTTTCTTTGCTCACTTTACGAGAACTGGAGATCCCAGAGATCTCCTACAGATCTCTGCAGAGATCCAACAGAATCTAAAACGGAGATTAGCCAACATTTGAAACTAATTTAATTCTTTCAATAATATTTATGAAACTATTTTTGGGGGCGAGCGTTCGTAATATTTGGCTAATTTTCGCAGCGATATATCATCCTTTCCTTAGCTTTTCCGCATATTCTCGTATTTTTTTCGATTTGCCCTCGCTCTGGTTTTAGTTTGTGGATCGGTCTGTTTTTTTTTTAGAGTTTTTTTAGAGCATAGAACATAAATCAAAAACAGAATTCACTGGGCTATTTTTTCGGACACAACAGACACCAAAAAGTCATTGCCATTAGACCAGTGTCCAAATGAAATCAAATTCATCATTTAACCAATTGATTCATTCGGCCAGAGACCCACTTCCAGACCCAGATTCCTCCAACAGATTCCTCCAGATTGATTGATCAAAAGATCGTTGAACTTTCCTCAGGGGAAAATGATATAATTTTGATACGAATACGAATGAATTATGAAGCGATGCTCCAATAGATGGATGTGGATGTGGATCTGGATGTGGAGCAGCAGATACGTCAGATACTTTCGATTCAATTTGTGGCCAAAAGTTAATTGATTAAACACGCAAGTGAACGTCAGATAAGCGTCGAGCGTTTTAGTTCGCGAGCTGCCGTGAAAATTGTCGCGCAATTTCCAAACCCCAAAAAAGAATGAAAATCAAAGGCTACTACTACCCTGTGCAGTGTGCATATTAATTAGCATATATTTGTATCTGTATATCTCTGCTGTGCTGAGCTGGTGCTGTACGAATGCCATGACGGAGAGCGAACACCGTCCCAGTCGACCAATTATCGTAATGATGCTCCAAGCGCAATTCACTTAAAAACCCCTAACACGTCTACGGAAAACGGCACATATATCATGCATATATTCCTTATATGAATGGCCATTAAACCGTGCCTGGAAATGGGGAGACCGGAGCGGACCAGACCAGACCGGAACATGCATTCATTCCGAGCATAAAACATTCTAGCGACAAGGACAAGAATTTGGTTAATATTCAGAGGGCGTCGTTGTCTTTCCTAATCCCTGGGAGCTATGCGATTGCCCAGAGAATGTTTAATTGGAAAAAGGCTGGAAAACGGATCCCCCGAAAACCAAAAACCAAAAAAAAAGAGCTACTCGCACGAGCATAGTTTGAGAACATAAAGTGTTTAATTTATCACTTAGGGGCCCCCGCCCGAGGCGACCTTCTCTCCATTACATCAGATCTCATATCTGGACGGGACGGGTCGTCTGTCTGTCTTTTGTTTGTTGGAAAATATTCTAAATTATGCCGCCTGCTCTGCTTGACCTCAGAGCCGAACGAAGCGGCAGACGAAGCAAGTGCGGCAGTGGCAGTGGCATGGGGCAGACGCGCACATTTCCCCATCTTGGAATTTTGTAAGAGTTTTCCAAATATTTTGGTTTTTGGCAGGCGGAATCTATCTGTCCATACCCAAAAATAGAACCGCTCTTCGTTTCTAATGATATATTAACTAATTCCCATTAAAAATCAAGGAAAGTGCTTGGCTGGCCGCTGAAAAGCGACTATTTCTGAACTATTTTAAATAAAAGGAAAGTCTCTTTTCGTATAAATAATGTACGTATTCCGCTTTTCCTCGGTTAAGGTTAAGTGAGCAGAGCAGAGGAGAGTGGGAAATGAATGCCAAAATGCTTTTGGCACGAAATCAAGAGTGAAAAACTTTTGACAAATTCTGCAATTTATTTGAGCCGAGTGCGGCTGTTGGGAGCGGTGTGGAAAACGACTTTTCCACGAGCAAGAGAGCAAAAGATCGCGTCACAGAGAGACAGAGAGTGGCTGAGAATGAGTGAGCAAAGCAGAGTGGGAAAAACGAAAAACGTTAGAACCAACTTTTTTATGTCTATAACCGGTTTTTCCGTCTCTCTCTCTCTCTCTCTCTGTTGTTCTCAAACATTTGCTTTTCGGAGGTAGTGGCCCACTTAGGGCTGGGCCTAAACCCAACCGCACCCCACCCCCTGCCGACATCAGGTAGCCGCTAAGGCAAACAATGTCGCCGACCAGCCGTCAGAAGCCGTCAACAAACCGCAGGAGAATTCCAGAATTTTGTTGTAACACAAAATTTGTACATACATTCATTCGAAAAGATAGGAATGCTAAGCATTTGATACCCTTGCAGGTGGGTTGTGTCCATGAGAATATCTGTATATTTGAAAGATTTGTACATGAAACTGCAGTTTGTTTATGGAAGGAATATCTTCAATGAAAGCTATATGGCATGCTACAAAGGCTTCAGGCTGCAAGTCGTTGATTCTGATCTTAATGGAGCTCTATCTATCTATGTATCTCCATTTTCTTTCACTGCATGTCGCAAAATTCTGATCACAATCGTGAGACCCTCCTCTGCAAGGGCACACAAATAAATTAAATATTTAATGTGGCTAGCGTGCCGATGCTCGAGGCTCCCGGCTCGAGGCTTGCCCCCAGAGGATGGGACGTCGCGTGGCCCAATCGTAAATCTGGGAATCCTCCAAAGGGAGGAGCTCCTCCAAGATGTAAGGGGGAGTACGAGTACGAGGACAATTGTGTCAACTATTTGTATACGTAATTTGCTTATCTTTGTGCTTCTTTTCATTTCATTTCATTTCATGAGCCTAGATTAATTTTGTCCGCTGTCCAGCTAATTATTTTGATTGTTTGCATGGAGGCGTGCGTTTTTTAAGCGCGTGCAAAACGCAGCACTAGCCCCATTTTGAGTCAGAGCCCGTCCGAATAAGGTGTGGGTTGCGGGTTGGGGATTGGGATCCATTCCAAGCAACTGCCAGCTGCTAATTTGATTGCGAACTCAACAAAACGCGAATAAACAGACATTTCTAACAGAAAACAGAGATCTTATTTGATTAGATCGTTGAACCTCCTACTTCTCTGGCTCGGAGTTCTGTTCTTAACTTTCCTACAGCTCCAGGCAAAACAAAAAATTTGAAATCCCACGCTGCGTGCAAATGGAAACCCGAAGAGAAAAAAAGAAAGAAAAAAAGAAACACAAGACAAGACAACAAATTTGTTACCAAAAACTGATTAATGTTGCCACCACTCAAGTTTCCAGCGTTTTTCATTCATATGCAAAATGAAGACAGAGCACCTGGACAGAATAGACAGACTGGAGCCTGGGAGGGGAGGGGCCCTGCCCTGGAGGGCTCAGAGAAGAAGAGAACGATATCATGATGATATTAAGGTAAGCATTTTGTTGAGCTCATCACAAAAACACGGCAAAATGCTGTCTATATCGGTGGGTGGAGAGGGGAAGGGAGGCATGTCGGTCGTAGCATGTCTCCTCTCCGCTTATATAAGAATTATAGATGATTGCCGAACGAACCCAACCGAACCGAACAGGTTTCCCAAGTCATTTTCTACCGCTGACAACAAAATATACGAGTGTATACAGTATTATACGTTCGGATCGCTCGAAAATAAACACAAAATTGGCTTGCTTGGCGTCTATGGCTATGTCTATGGCTAACTATGTATGTACATATCTATTCTGCAGGTGCAGCTGACAGGCAAGAGAACATCTGTCTATAGAGAGCGGTAATAGTTTTCTAATGGTTCAATAAGATGATACTTATATACGAGCCGAGTATTTATGCAATTGCCGGAAACTATCCCAACAATTTGATCGCGAAATTAACGGATTGTTGCGGATGTTTATGGGTATTTTATTCAAATGGCAAATAGTTAATGCTTCGTAAATTTGAATTTTATTTGAAATTAACTCAATTTCTTCGTAGACACACAAAAAAACACAAAATCAACAGTATATATAAAGATATAGCACACACCTATTCGAAGTGCACTGTAGAATTTGTTAAGTTAACCGATTCGGTTGCAGTATTTCCCACAAATTTATGTATAAATAATCCCGAACGCTGAACCGCACGCGAACCCGTTCAAAATGGAAATAAAACCCGCGACGAAATCGACATGTTATCGGCTCTGACTCGCAGCGACTGTATAGTGTAAGAACCAAGGTATATTCAATTTAAGGTATGGATGCTTATTTTGGCACTCACTTCTAACGGACTAACTATGTACATATGTATATGAGGATGTACACAAACACCTGTTAAAATGCACTGGATTAACAGCAGAATTTTTTAAACCATTTCGGTCTAAAACGCAAAGAGAAGGAATGATAGTGGCAAACTAACAAGGGCAGGGCGAGAGCCTAACTTATTATTGAATATACCCTGGCAACATTTGAGAGCGATAACGGCAGATAAAAGAGGGTGTAAGCGTGGGAAGTCAGACAAGGCGACAGGTGAGAAGAAAGTGCAAGGCAGAGATGATGCAAATGATCTTTGATGTTTTTTCGGAATGCATGTAGACGTACAGTTAACATAACATAAAAATTTACATTTTCATTTGTAAGTAAGTAGAACACGCTGATAAGACGAACAATGAAACGAGACTTGACAGACGTTCAAGTTTAATCGGCCACTGATTCTACTAATCAGCCTACTCAAAATATAGTAACATATACCTCCTCCACGTAGTATAGATCTCAAGTCGATAAGTGCTTACGCAAAAGCTGCATCCTAGATAGGGTGGGTTATCTTGTTTGACAAGTCGCCGTGATAGGAGAAAAACTGACCACAGTGAAATCCCGCTCCGCGAGAAGTACTTGACTTTCGTCAATTCTTTGAATTCACGGCCACTCAAGAGTGTTCGATCCATTATAAATCACGTTCTCAATCTTCTTATGACGTCCTCCAAGGCGTCACATGGCATCAGATGCGATATCGTCGGGGGAAACAATTACCCGACACGCTCAAAGTCCCATTCATCACTACTCTGTTTCCCGGAAAAGTTCTTCCTATGTTTCATAGCTTTCCCACAAATTGTATGGGTAGTTCTTCTCATATCTTGTTGTGGAGAAAAAAGCTTTTTATTTAAATTTTAGTAAGGGCGCCGATAACACCAGATCCAAAGGGAGAGAATAATGGTAACACTTTTAAGACACAGGAGGTCACATTAATTTAGAATCGTTATAAGAAAAAAAATAGCAGTAACATAAAAACAATGTATTCCCCTTCAAATAAATCCAATTATTTAAACAAAGCGATAAGCGATATCTGCATTCGCTCGATCAAAATTGTCCATAATCATAGCTGAAACTGGTTGACCAATCACGTAGAGTACAACTTGTTTTACATAAATATGTAGATTATATGTATCGAGTGTGTAGTTACCATGTACAAAGTTAACATATTTTTGGCCTATTTTGTTTAAACTTATTTTACAAAAATTTTTTACCAGTGGTTATTTAAATAATCTCCACAAAAATTATAAAATCTTTTAGATAAGAACAATTTACAAACAGGTTTAACTCAAGCTGTTCACCTGTTTGGATAGTGGGATGATAAGTTCGTTTCTTCATCGGTATCGATAGTAACTAATTTTAAAGTCTTTCAAAGGCTATAATTTTAAAGTACTACTACAGGAACTATATAATTGTCATACAAACGGTGTTTGACCCGAAAAAAGGCAAGAAAGCCATGTCAGAAAGTGTCGCCGCTGCTGCTGCTTCCCGTGTCTCGATGTTTCATCCATGTTTTTCAAATATACTTATTTTATATACCGACTAGAAACTATCTACCGTTATCCCTGTATGAACCTTTTAGGAATTAACGCTCGGATTTTATTCCCTCTACCATATTATATCCACCACTAGTTCCCTTTCTCCAATTAAATTACTAATACTCACTTGCCTTTCCCGTATTTAGTAAATGTATTAGTACTTGTAGTTTGATTGCATGCTTAGTTCTTTTAGTAATTTTCCTCGAATATTAGTCTAGCAGCTATCGTTCCTGCATGTTCGCGTTTAGTTCGGTTAACGCGCCGCGCGTCATACAGCAGCGCCCCTCGGTCGGTTGAGTGAGAGGAGGGCTGCGTTTTTGCCCGAGATGCGCGCGTAACAGCCATCCTTCGATGACATCGATGTTTCTCCAGCTCTAAATATCACACCGCTATACCACCAATATTGAGGCAAAAAAAATCAAAGTCAAGTATTTAAAATAAGCCAGTCAAGTAGAAAATTGATTCATTAATCGGTTAAAATTATGTAGGCATGGCTAAATGTTCTATATAGCTTGTAATATTCGACGGAATATAAAAAAACGAGGAATATGTATAAGAGAACTTGAGCTCGTCAGTATATATACGGTATATTTTTAAAGTAAGACGGTATGTTTCGGTATATTTCCGAGGGTCGCACGGTATATTTTATCGAAGTCGCACACATCCGAGATAGTTCTGGAATTTATAGTTTTAATTAATAATAAAAGTAAACTTTCTTAACTAAACATAAGTGAAGCAGTCAATGTGAGTCTTGCCAAAGCATATAAGTTCAGTCGAACGACATTCAGTCATAATTTGTCTCCGTTCTCATTTCTCGTCGCTCTGCCTGGCAATCAAAAAATCGTACTAAATCAAAGATGTCAGACTGGGATTCTGTTACAGTTCTGCGGAAGAAGGCTCCCAAGTCGTCGACCCTAAAGACCGAATCGGCCGTCAATCAGGCTCGCCGCCAAGGCGTTGCCGTGGACACCCAACAAAAATGTGAGTACGGCCGGGGATCACCAGGCCGGTTGCCCCCAAAACCACTTTGCACACACACAGACATGCCAATCGCTCGGCCTAACCTAAGAACAAAACCAACAACGAAACCTCCTGCTGCAATTGCGGCGATGATGTATTGCGTGGCATTACTGTCGTCCCGCCGCAGCGATGTCGAGGCATTTCACAACACGTAGTAATCTGCATTGAGGAGCTATTTTCTGCTTGGCCTAGTTCCCCCTTTCCCTCGCCCACGCATTCGATCTATACCGGCTATTGATTTTGTTTGTCTGTCACAGATGGTGCTGGCACCAACAAGCAGCATGTGACCACCAAAAACACTGCCAAGCTGGACCGCGAGACTGAGGAATTGCGCCACGACAAGATACCGCTTGACGTGGGCAAGATCATCCAACAGGGACGTCAGAACAAGGGTCTCAGCCAGAAGGACTTGGCCACTGTAGGTTCTCAATTTCTTGTTCTGTTGTGGTTAAGCACTGATTAAAAATTGATTTCTTTCCTTTTGGTTGGCAGAAAATTTGTGAGAAGCAGCAGGTTATAACGGACTACGAGGCCGGACGCGGCATTCCTAACAACTTGATCCTCGGAAAAATGGAGCGGGTGCTTGGCATCAAGCTGCGCGGCAAGGAGCGTGGCCAACCAATAGCGCCTCCCGGTAAAAAGTGAGACGATGCTGCCGCGTCCACTGCTTGCGGCGCTCCACCATCGAACACCTCAACACGCAACGCCAGACAGCAGCAGCAACATCAACAGCAGCAGCAACACCAGGAGCCTGGCTGGAGTACCGTAAGCAGAAGACGCAAATGAAGCCTTATCGGGAGGCTCTTAACCAAATCAAATCGGGTTAACCAAACCACGCAGCCCAAGACACACACCGCACACACACCCAATCCTCTTTTATCTATGAGCGCGCCATAGTTCTTGAATGTTTTGTTTGAAGCCAAAAAAAACCATACCAATTGCCGCGTTTCGCACACACACACATGCACAGATACACGATGGCTTTAGATACTATTATTACAACTATTTGCATCCCCCCCTTTTTCTTTTATCCTGATAAATTAAATATTGTAATTTTTTTTAAATACAAATCACAATCACAGCCTCGGTCTCCCCTCGCAGAAGGCACAGAAACAACAGAGACAGAGAGAGTGACACGAAAGCGAAACGCAACAGACTAATTTGATATTATTTGATAAGGGCCAGGGCCAGCTAGGCCTGGTCGGCGCTCATGGTTTGAAAGGAAAGAGTTTTCATCCATACACACTGACATAGGCATTGGCATTGGCCAAGGGAAAAGCCTTCCTTTCGGTTATTTCGGTTATACAAAAATTTAAGTTGTGGAATTAAATATCAAGACATAAAAAGCATTGATAAAAACACACAAACTTCTTTCAATTCAATCGAAAATCGCCAAAAACTGAAACCATCTGAATTTGAAAATTTTTGCATTTGCATGATCCAAAACCAGCTTGACTAATATCCATTATACATACATATATGTACCACTAAATGATATATGCAAATTCTTAGAGCTTAGTCGGACTTTCACTTCACCTAATTTTTGTGTAACGTAACTTATCGTATAAGGGTCTTCTGTGTATGCATCATACATACATATGTATACAAGAAACATATTCTTAATGTATTTAGGGTAACATTTTCTAGTCTACAAAATATTTAAATATTGTAAGCGATGGCATTTTCTTGTATATTCTCTAACTCGAACGAACACTGCTCCACTCCTCCTCTACTCCGGGCGGCAGCTTCAAATATTTTGCATACAATTTATGCTAACCCAAAATGAACACAGCGGAGAGGAGGTGAATATGGATATAGATATGGAGATATAAACAACTATACTTATATACATGTGTATTTGCTATGAAAGTCTCTGTATAGGAGTCTCCAATTACTAGGAGATGATTCGTGTTTTGCCAGTGAATAACTCTTTAAATATCATAATAAATGTTTTTTTAGCCATCTAAGCATTATTCGAAATGGTTATCTATGGCATTTTTGTACGCTTTAATTTCTTTGGAGAATTGTATTCGTATTAGTATTCGAAAACATGTGAAGGTAGATTGAAGGCAAAAATTCTTAGTAGATATTCTTTGATTTGTTCTTTGGTTAGTTAAATTGGTGTTGGTGTTAAATTCGGTTTCCGCAAAGCATTAAGTACTGCTGCTTGCTTGCCGTCTGCCTAGACAAAGGCCAATTCGGGAATCTCTCTGTTGTTCTTCATTTCGAGAAACATTTTGCTGGCCCGTTCAAAGTCCCATTCGGCCGACTCCACGATCCTTGTGCACCAGGGAGGTGTTAGTCCGGTAAGCTGGAGGAAAAAAATGAGCTTGTGGCTCTTGGCATCAAGTGAATCCTTGGAGGCTGGCGCATTCAGACGATTCCTTCGCAGTGGGCAGACCTTGAACGCATCTTGTACCTGGTTCCTCGAGGGATTTATGATGCTCAGGTGGTCATTAGAGATCTTTCAGCGGCAAGCCTTCTTTCCTAAGCCCTGGGAATGACAGATGGTGAATTAATCTATTTAAAGTAGTATCTCAAATGGTATCCTACCAGTCCCTCCTTATCAACCTTGAGTACAAAGTTCCTGGTAAAGGCCAAATAGAGCTCCGCCTGGTTATGTGTGCTCGGAGAGTCGTCGCGCATCAGACCAGTCAAATGAATAACTGCCAACTGGCCATTGTAGTGCATCACATCAGTCTGGAGGGATCGAAAGTCGTGGACGACACTCGGCAGCTCCATGAGCACGCGAATGATCTCCATCAAACCCACATGAAATTCGTTTGTGGCTTTGGTATAGTCCGACTACTTTCTGATGTCCCGCGAATGCTTGGTGTACTTTGAGATGCGCTTAAAGAGCTGGGCGTTGATTGCGAGCGCCCCATCACATAGTTGCTGGTCATCGTGAATATGGAGTTTTCCGTGTAATATTTCATCAGGCGGTTGGCCCGCATGTCCGCCTGCTCGAACTCGTGCAGATAGTTGCTAAGAAATACGTCGCCCACCAGCTCGTTGGCCCCAATGTCGCACAGGAAGTTCTTCTGCGGCACCTGGCCCGGCTTGCTGCTCAGATCCACCCCATCCAGCGTCGTCAGTTGGGGGAAGATTTCCTTCACTGCCTGGATGTACTTTCGGCACAGCGGATTGCCATGGAGTCGCAGGGACTTCAGCGGTAGCTCACCCAACGCCTTGATGTCCTCCAAATCGTTTATCCAATAATGGCCCAAATCTAACGCACGAGGCTCCACATTCGCGACAGGACGCGCGCGGCGTCTATCCTGAGAATATTATTGTTGCACAGACGGATCTCCGAGCAGTTTGACATGTACTGACGCGAGATAATTGTTAGAATATTGTTCAGAATCCTCGTCGAGCCCATGTGGACCCAAAGGCCCTTAAGGCCCTCGGTTGCCTGGAAGTCTGACATTTTGAGCAGCCGATTCTGGGCCACATAGCACTTCTGTATGCATTTGGTAATCCTCTCCTGGGGATCCACATTATGGAGCTTAAAGCGGCTGACATTCATGCGCATATAGAACGGAATAGTACGAGGACCCATGCACACATCTGGATCTTCTACCTTTGGCACCGTTTCGTGGATTTGTATCTCCAGATTGCAACTGTGCACTAAATACGCAATCTGTTCGAAGCAGTTGTGCACTAGAAAAATGTGCTCCTTTCCGTCAAACTAATAAAGGATTGAAATATCAGAGCAGATGAGGAAAATCCTTAAATGAGATCTCACCTTGTAGTAGCAGGGATAGATCTCGCTCAGAAATTGGTTTGTCGTAATAAAGAATAATGTAAAGAGATTTGTTTCAGTTAACGCGTGCATAGGATCGGGTACCTAAAGATCACAGATATGTTAAGTGGTAAAAGTACAGACGTGGGATTGAAATTACAAACCAAAAATGCATGCCAATCTTCGCTATGCTCAAAATCAGCCAGCTTCGATTTTTTTGTCCAGTCAATGCGTATGCCGTCGACTCCAAATCGATATCGTGCTTCAGGGGCGTATAGGTGCTGTGGAGCTTGCCGTGGGGAATGCCATCCACCATACTAAAGTTTCCCTGCAACGCCTTAATGCTGTTGGGATATTTGGAACTCATGGTGATGGGAACGTTGGCCAGCTTCAGTTCCTTCGCTCGAACACGCTTCAATTCACGCCACAGACGAACCGAAGAAGCAATCTGAAAATTACCTGTTGCTAGATTTGATGCCTTACTTTACACCTCACACATACCTTGTTTTCACTGAGATCCACGAGTCCATATTCGACATCGCCAAATAGCTTGAGCGGATCCACGCTTTTCATGTGATTGTTCGCGAAAATGAACCCATTCACCGCGCTAAATGTCTCATCGTTGTGATAGATGCTGCTGCAGACATGCTTCAAGGTGGCCACATTTGCCAGACTAACCACACTATTCTTGAAACAGGGATTCGCCCCGAAATTGCTCAGATTCAACACGCCACGCACGCCGCTATGCACTTCCAGTGCATAGTGGCGCCGGAGGAAATACTTAAGCAGAGCTTCTGGGCAAACAGCTTATCGATCGCCGGCTTGCAGGCACGCGCAAGAAATTTACGACGCGAGGTCCACACTGAAAATGTAAAAGTTTACAATGGAAGGATGGCAAAGGTTTTTCATGGAGAGCCAACATCATAGGCCACCGGATAGAACTCCTCGCCGTCAATCACATCAAAGATGGCTTCCAGTATCACTTGTTTTGGATTCTCCAAATACTCGAGCTGTCCCAAATGATGTATGAAAAACTCATTCCAGCTCAAGCCCGGCACCCGATCACCATAACTAGAGCCGTTGCTAAATATCCTGGGGTCGGGATAATCCCCCTGGATCGGCAGGGATCCATCCGAAAAGTTTAACACGTATCTGTGGCCTTTTGTCATGTCATGAATTAGTTACGATGTTTTAGTTAAATTCCTCAATATCTTACTCCGGTGGTCCATCTTTTAGCGCTGAAACTGGGGCAGTGCGGTGAATTTTCAATACGATTGGTGGGGTGGGGAACATGAAACTTAAAACAATAATTCTCTTTTTAGAATCTTTATTTTATGTTGGCTTCTTAATGGTTACAAGTCTTACAATTTCCAAGCTTCAAATTACTTCTTGGGAGTCTTTTTCTTCTCAACTTGGCGTGGAATGGCCTTCTTTCCTTGAAAATAGCCTGTATAGTAACCAGACATGTACCAGGCAGTCAGCATGGACATAAGGTCCTGCTCCTCGCCCGGGTTACCATAAGGAGGGATAATGGGGGGGATCAATGGCATAGTTGGCATGCACGGTCCACCAGAAAGAACTGCGCTGGCAGCAGGTTTGGTCTTGACTGAAGATTTCTTTGAGGCAGACTTGCCGCGAGCTTTTTCCTGATGCGCTGTCTCGATCTCGAATTGATATGCCATTAACGACTGCTGGCGACGGGCGTCCTTGCCCCAAGATGGCAGCAGTTCGGCGACCAATATCTCTTGCTCGTTTTCATAGCCCAGGTAACGGATCACGCAAGTACCTGCTTCCTCGTTGATGAACACCACGGTTCCCTCATAGTCAACGCCATCAGTGAATGTGGCCCGGGCGAAGTCGCCCACCTTGAACAATACGGGCTCGGGGCTGGTAGCGTCGGTTGCAGTGTTAACTTCATCCATCTTGTTCTCCTCCTCACGCGTATTGGTCGAGTCTGCCAAACGGCGAGCCAAGGCCTCGCGGGCCAAATTCACGGATTCATCGTAGACTTTTATCAACAGAGAATCGTCCCAGGCAGCGCTATTGGTTTCGTCACACATCTTGCTTTATTTTGTTTTTTTAAGCAAATAAATGATAATTTCGGAGTGCTGGAAAACACTGGAAAACACTGCTGCCAGTGTGTAGAGCTGGAGAAACATCGATATTTTTCATATCGTTGGATTTACACTAGAAGCTATTGACACTATTATTAATATGTTTGATCTAATGATACAATTACTTAAGGATTTAGCATGAAGGATTTACTTGACACAACAGGCAGAACAGGGGAAAAATATTGGGAAAATTAAACAAACTAGACCCCTAAACATATCCTTTGTAAAAAGTTTGTAAAGTTTTGCCCAAAACTCAAAAAGTCAATAACAATAATATATTTCATATTTTAGTGTTTACAAAATTTTAATTTATAAAATATATAAATTTATGGAATATATAAAAACAACGATGTTTCGATATCTTATCGATGTTTTGCTCTCAATGTCCGCAAACACCGATGCTCTTGAGCTCTAAGAGCCATCTCTCATCACTAAAGTTGCACCAAAAACGAAACTCATTGTCCGTTTGCAAACATAAAAAGTAATAATTAACAATGGCTTCAGTGGAAACGCTATACAAGGAACTGACCGCCGAGTGGGCAAAGCGTCCGCCCAACACCAAGAAATGTGGCCTTCTGCTGGACCAACTAAAAGTCGCCCTAGTCAAAATGGTCTTTCTACCGACAGACGGCAGCGAGGCCCAGAACTCGAAAAAGCAACTGCTTCTGGCTCGCTGCGTGCTTGAAATCGCTGTGGAGCACAGTGTGTTGAGTAAGGATCTACAGGCCTTTGAGCGCTATATGTCGCAGCTGAAGTGCTACTACTACGACTATGCCAAGATCATTGGCGAATCGGACAACAAGTACAAACTGTTGGGGCTCAACTTGCTGTACCTGCTTTCCGGCAATCGAGTCTCCGATTTCCACACCGAGCTCGAGCTGCTGTCAGTGGACATCATTCAGCACAATCAGTACATTCGTCCCATCTTGGCCCTCGAGCAGTACATTATGGAGGGCAGGTACAATAAGATTTTCCAGGCCAAGTCTTCAATGCCTGCTGAAGTCTACAATTACTTTATGGACCTGCTAGTGGAGACAGTGCGCGACGAGATTGGTGCGTGCATTGAAAAGTCCTACGAGAAAATCTCCGCCAAGGACGCAGCCAAACGTCTCAATCTGCGTGTCCCGGATGAGATCAAGGTGTTTGGCGAAAAACGCCAGTGGAAGCTGGAGGACAATGGCAACTATAGTTTCACGGACCGTAGCATAAAGCCAAAGGAGGCCCTGCCCTCCGAAGAGCTGGCCGAGCAGGTGCTCAGCTATGCCCGTGATCTGGAGATGATAGTTTAAACCTTAAGTTTGTAATATTTTTTTAATATGCATAAATAAAGTATCATTTAATCTCCTATGCTTGGCTCAGTTCCGAAATGAACCAGTTCGATTGTTTTGATAGTCGATAGGGCGACTGGCGAACTAGATCTTCACAGCGGAGCGAACGATAGCGGAGTAAAAATTTTCGCTCTGCGATTTTTTTTTAACAAAAACTGCTTTAAAATCAGACGAAAAAGTTAGTAATATAATTAACGCAATGGCCTGCAACGCAAATAAGACGCATCTCTTGCGCGCTATCGCTGTAAGTTTCAACTTAACCAATAAAATTACAGCCAAATAATTTCCACTGGGGAGACTCGTGTTACGTAAAAGCTTTTCTGTTTAAACAATTATGAAAGGACTAATGAAAATGTTACCCTGTCTTTCCTCAGAAACGGGGCTATGCCACCTGCCCACGCCCCGTTGGCGACATCTCCGCCGTCAGTGTGAATGTTCTCGAGAACAAATTGGTTGTGGCCACAGCTGATGCCACCGTTCCCGTCTCGCGAGTGTCGATCGTCTTGGGGTGAGTGGCGGCACAGTCTGCCTGCCGGCCCTGCCCAGTGTTATTGCATCACCTCTGGTTTCTTGCAGAGCTGGTTCCCGTAACGAGGCCTACGATACCCTGGGAGCTTCCCATCTGCTCCGCTTGGCCGGAGGATTGAGCACCCAGAACTCGTCTGCTTTCGCCATTGCCCGCAACATTCAGCAGGTCGGCGGCACCTTGACCACCTGGGGCGATCGCGAGGTTGTCGGCTACACCGTGGAGACCACAGCCGACAATGTGGAGACCGGTCTGCGCTACCTGCAGGATCTGCTGCAGCCAGCCTTCAAGCCATGGGAGTTGAAGGATAATGCGAAGACTCTGCACAACCAACTGGATGGTGTCACCCGAGAGGTAAGCCATTTCTTCACTCGTGCTCCTATCCTGTATTCTTAAAATCTTTCTTGTTGTGCAGCAACGTGCCATTGAGCTGGTCCACAAGGCTGCCTTCCGTACCGGCCTGGGCAACTCCATCTACATCCCCAGGTTCCAGCTGGGCAATCTTTCCACAGAAAGCCTGCTGCACTACGTGGCCAACACCTTTTCGGCCAGTCGCGCTGCCGTTGTTGGCGTGGGTATTGACAACAACACTCTGTCGGGCTTCGCCCAGACCCTGGAATTCCCAAGCGGCGGTGGAAAGACTGCATCGGCGAACTACTTTGGTGGCGATGCCCGCAAGGACACCACCGGACAACGTGCCACTGTCGCCGTTGCTGGTCTGGGAGGTTCTATTGCCAACCCAAAGGAGGCCCTTGCCTTTGCCGTGCTGGAGCAAGCTGTAGGCGCTGGTGCGGCCACCAAGCGTGGAAACTCTTCAGGACTGTTCGGCGAGGCTGCCAACTCTGCTGGCGGCTCGAGGCCCAGCTCTGTTAGGGCTCTGAATACCAGCTATTCGGATGCCGGACTCTTTGGCTTCGTTGTGTCCAGCGAGGCAAAGGACATTGGCAAGACCGTCGAGTTCCTGGTTCGCGGTTTGAAGTCTGGTTCGGTTTCGGAAAAGGATGTGGCCCGTGGCAAGGCCTTGCTGAAGGCCCGCATCATCTCGAAGTATTCCTCCGATGGTGGTCTGATCAAGGAGATCGGCCGCCAAGCGGCGCTCAGCAGAAACGTCTTGGAGGCTGACACTTTGATTGCTGCCATTGATGGCATTACCCAGCAGCAAGTCCAGGAGGCTGCCAAGAAGGTGGCCGGCTCGAAGCTATCGGTCGGTGCCATTGGCAACCTGGAGAACGTGCCCTACGCTTCTGATTTGGCTTAAGTAGAAAAACTCCCCTGTTATCCGTAAATGTAACGACTAAAAATAAACTTGTTGGAATTAACGATCCGCGACAAATGAAATCTTTCTCTTATAGGTAGTAGTTTAATGTTCGTATAAATACTCGTACTGGAACCATTTGCACACTAAAGGGATCGTCGGAAACATTGATATAGGTGTACAAAAAATTCGACATAATATAACATAGAATACGTTTAACAATGGGAATTGGGTAACTACACAAACACCACCACCAGAATGGCCACAAACAGAGCAATGATGACCAGCCAGTAGCCCCAAGTGCTGTCCCGTCGATTCACTTGCCCAATGCTGTGCGTCTCCCGGTGCACTCCCGTCTCCACACGATCCATTGCATTGGCCAGGTTATCGAGAATATCTGGAAACAGTCACAGCTGAGCATTGAATAGGAACTGCAACTTTTACTCACTATTCTGATCTTCCACTTCGTTGCCCAGCTGGGTGGCCAGACTGCGTTGTCGGGAAATAGTGGCCGAGAGCGCTTCGAGGCCACGATTCTGATCTTCCAGCATTTCGGCCTGCCTCAGCTTTAGCGTCTCTACATCAATGGGTGTTTCTCGGGGGGCGGGCGGCCTGACCTGCTCCTGCCAGGCGGAGCCTGAAAACGCGGCCAGCACATTGGAGCGCGTGCTGTTCGTAAACTTCTGATTAATCTCGCGCAGCTGCGAGGTTAGCTTATCCCAATCTATACGCCGCTGCTGCAGCTCCTCCTGAGGGCTAGTCTCCCATGTGATGGCATTGTCTAGTACTACCTTGAGATGTTTCACATCTTTACCCAACTGCTCCAGTCCCGTTTTTATGCTATCTGTGAGTTGGATGTACTCCTTCTCCTTGGGCTGCCCCAGCTGCTGGCGTTGATGCAGTTGCACTAGCAACTGGTGGCGCAGTCTTTCGCAGCCCTCGTACTCGATGTCCCATGAGTCATGATCTACCAGGGCCATTTGGTTGACACTTTTATCAGCAAATTAAAAACTACGCCTCGCCTTAAGCAAGAATGAAGAAGCCAAACAATAAAAACATCGGAAACAGCTGTGCAGTAGTGCTGCAAGTCACAAAAGTGCAGTGTTTGAAAGTCATCAAATGTTCTTGACATTTCAGGTAGCATCTTACACACACACTTTGATAGCCGACATCAGAGACTTGACGATATCTGTGACTGGAAATCACCTAATTCTGTTTAATATATATTAATGCCAATATATATATATATATATATATAAATATATCTGCATATATATCTGTACATTTTGTTTATTGTTTGCTAATTTGATAATAATAAAAAATTCATAACTGATTATACCTGTTTTTGTATACTTACGAATATAGAATGAGAACAACAACACACAGCTGGTCGATCGTCCTTTTGCTCTCATATCTCACAAATTTTAGTTTTTTGGTAGCCAGTCGATAGCTTAAGGCGTTGCACAGTTTTTGGTTTCTTATTGCTTATTCACTATTGAATTATTCGAAATTCGCATGTATGGTGGATGTGATAGCTGTGTCACAGCAGTGACTGGTGATTTGAAAATACTTTCAAGTAACAGGTACGCAACTATCGCCCATCCCTAACTCACACGTACACACAATTTAGTCGTGATTTCTTTTATTTGTTTAAAATTATTGCTAAAAACTAAACAAAAAAGGTCTTTAAAAGTTGGCCAACATGTTGAGTGCTTGTATTAATGTTTGCAAGCCTTTTCCCTAAAAGGAGGCCAGCGCGGGCCATAGTTTTCTCAGCTCGTGGTTATCGAGGGAAGAGAGTGGGAGAGCACTCCAAAAAACCAACTCTACAATAAATTAAATAAAAGTCAAACAACAAATTCAATTATCCAACATGGAGAGGCGCGTGAAGCTTAAGACAATTAATCCGCACATCACGTGTAAAATCTGTGGCGGATATTTCATTGATGCCACAACAGTGACGGAGTGTCTGCACACATGTGAGTTTTACTGACGATGGAGCTGTGCCGTTCCAAGGGCCTACCCGGTGGCAGCACCTGCCCCGCCCCGCCGCGCCACGCCGGTTCAAGCCTCCACACAGGCAGAAAACCAATGATTTTAATTTCAACTGTTTACACTTTTTCAGTTTGTAAGAGCTGCCTGGTGAAGCACCTTGAGGAAAAGAAGACCTGCCCCACCTGCGATAACATCATACATCAATCTCATCCCCTGCAATACATCAGTTTCGATCGCACCATGCAGGACATTGTGTACAAACTGGTGCCGAAACTGCAAGAAGGTTTGATTTAGATTTTGCTTTTGATTAACGTCTAATAGCAACTGCAATCAATTTTGTAATTGTTTAATTTTCGATTTGCTTTCCTCCATTTTTAGATGAATCGCGCAGGGAGCGAGACTTTTACAAAAGTAGGAACATGCCATGTCCGAAGGATATCACGCAAAATCATGACGACGACAATGAAAAGGTTATGGAGGCTCATGCCGAATCCGATTTCCATCGTCTGGACGAGCAGGTCAATGTGTGCCTAGAGTGTATAAGCAATAACTTTAAGAATCTACAAAGGCGCTTCATACGCTGTAGCTCCCAGGCGACGATAACGCATCTCAAAAAGCTGGTGGCCAAGAAAATCCTCAATGGGATTGAAAAATATCGCGAGGTAAGTGCGCCAGCAATATTTCCCAATTCTATTCACATAATGTATGTCTACAACGGCTGAACCATCACTTTACAGATTGACATTTTGTGCAACGAGGAGCTGTTGGGCAAAGATCATACGCTCAAGTTTGTTTATGTCACACGATGGCGTTTCAGGGATCCTCCGCTTCGCCTGCAGTTTCGTCCCCGAGTTGATCTCTAACAACTGCGAGGGATGCTGTTTTTAGTATAAATGCTACACAAATGATCTATTTTTATAATTTATTGACAAAGCGTAAATATCGTAATTAGGAGAGTCCCCCCGCCCCCAACAATAGTGTTAGTCCCCTCCTCCCTCTATGTATGTATATGTAAATCTGCATGTATAAAGTCGTAGTCTAATAGTTATTCCCCTCTCCTGCCCCTCCTAGGCGTAAGTACTTTTTTAACTTTGTCCTTTATCGTGTGTCCCCTATTGTGTCGTCCCTGATTTAATCAATTTTCTCTATATTTGCAATATTTTCATGTTCTCCTCTTTTTAGTTTCAAATATACACAAATATATTTATTATTTTAATGTACAAACCACACACGATTGTAAATAAACTTGTAATTATGTCGAAATGTGTCTTTAATTCGGATGCTGCCATGAGTTTCTATAACTAAAACGAGATTGTGGATTAAATGGATGACGATGGCGATATTCATGGTGTGCATAAGGCCTAGAATAAGGGGCTGCCTGAAACGAAGGTCGCATTGGTCGGTACCCAAATCGTGGACGCGGTGGATATGCCAGTGGACCATATATTCCATTAAACTGATGCGCTGGATGGGGTGCCGGCCAGCCCTGGAAATACGAGCAGAAGGCAAATTTAAGAAGAATAAATCTGGATATGGGAATTGAACTTACGTATCCATATGCGAACTCATGTGCTGGAACGGGCACAGGAACTGTTATTATCCTCGGCGGTGGCGTGCGTCGACGCGGACTCCGGTTTCGGTGTCGACGCTCGCTACTTCGACTACGGGTGCGACGGCGATAGCGTCTTCTGTCAGAGGATCTCGATCTCGACCTAGTTCGTCGGCACCGTTTGCCAGTCGAAGGTGGAGATTTCGGACGCACATTCTTCACGCGATCCCGCTCACGCACAGGATCCGCAAAGTAGGGTACCGTCTTCTGCTCGCGCACGCGCTCGCGTTCTCCTCCCTGGTCTCGTACATGTACGTCTCTTCGGGTCCTCGATCGATGGGAATCTACATAGAAATATTATATCTAAATCATTACTAAGCGTTGTGTAGAGGTTTCGGAGAAGATTTGGGGTCCATCGATTCGTTTGGGGGCGTCCAATTGTCCCAAATTCCTGGATGTTGTGTTCGTTCTGTCCAGCGTACATTTTCTTCCATTGCACTTTTCACTTTATATGGCACTATAAAAAAAACAACAAAAAGAAAAAAATTTCTATGCACTTGCTCGAGTTTCGGTTGCACTTCTATATACGGACCTCGGTGGGACGCTACACTGCTGTCGGCGTCCATAATGCAGATGCACTTATTTATGCACTTCTTCTTTCTGTTGCTGCTGCTCGCCGGACTGCTTAGTAGACTGGCAGCACAGCAGGTGATACCTTTGAGGTCGTTCTTAAGGCACCAGTTATAATTATTTAATACGGATAAATATTTTAATTTTTTTCTTCTAGTCGTGTTGTTGAATATATATCGATTTGTCGATATATATCTAAGTTGGTTTTATTTTTTGTCTTATTTTTGAAAAAGTGGTTTTTATGATTAAAACGATTTAGATTTTGATGCAGATCATTAATCCATATTCCGTAGCGGTCGAAAACGATTCTTACTGAAACTTCCTAATGAGTTTTACAAGGTGTGCTAGCACAACAAGGTGCATCCAATTAAAAACCTATCGGTTGACGATGCAAGATGCATCGTGCATCACTAGAGAGGGATGGCCTGTCCAACCACCAAACAATTTCAATACTTAATTGGCGCAACATTTGATCAAAATTTAAGAGGTTAAATGCTAGATAAGAGACTAATTTTGATAATGTATAGGAAATATTTTATGAAACTTATTACTTCAGGTTTTATTCAAAAAATAGGAATTTATTTAAAAAAGTTAACATTAAACATTGAACATAAAAGGCAAACGGAATTAAAAGATACACAAATGAATTTAAAGCTTAATACTAACTGGCACGTTTATGCGCTCGTTCTCCATAGAAACAATAATAAGCGGCTCCTTCCCACGCCCTTCACGTCTTGGGGAACTCAATAGGCGAACTTTAATCTCTACTTCTCCACCATCAGGTGCAATATAACATTCCCTGGGACTGATCTGTACAAAGTCTGATACATTGCAGTGGACTTCGATGAGCTGCCCCGAGCGGAAGCAGTTCTTTATGGATAGTTTTGCGATGGTTCCAGCACCCAACTCAATTGAAGCAGGCTGAACGGACCAGTTTCTCTCCACGGGTAGCATTGTGGTGGTATCAGCCTCATGCAGCTCATCGACAGGCTCCAGCATATTGCTTTGTGTTGGAGTGGGAGAGTTGGCGGCACAGATCGTGCGGAACAAGACAGTTTCCTCGGCCTCTGGTAGGAACAAGAGCGAGGTCTCGGCAGACTCATCAAAATCACGATTCAGTGTCAAGGCTACGTCGATGATCTTCACGACAGTGACCAGATCCAGTATGAACTCGGGAGGCTCATTCAGCTGGCTGATGTTCCTCACAGGTTGCTCATCTGGAAAAGGACTCCATATGCTGTCCAGCATTGCGGAGGTCAGCTTCTCACGCTGCCTACCGCTCATGCGATGTACCAGATGGCGCATTCTCTGCCTGTTAGGCTCGTCACCGCAGAAGATCCGCATGTTGGCCAGCGTCACCACCTGCGAGGTCTTCTTCAATATGTTCTTCATATCCTCGCGATTCGGACGGAATATAACTTGCACCGTGCTCTCGGTATGGGGCGGTAGAATTAACTTGCTGGGACGCACCTCGAACGCTTCGCTCAGACGCAGCTTCATCAGCACTGTGGAGTCCACAGAGATGCCCACGAAGGCAGTCAGCGGTCCCTTATTCAGAAATTTAAAACTGGCCGTAAGTGGACCGGAGGAGAGCTCGCAGACGTCTCCGATGGTGAGGAAGCTGGCACCCACCGGGCCCTTGAGCAAGCCCTGAATCGAAATAGATGCATTTCCGCCGTAGCCATACAAAGGGATTTCCATTCCGGGCTGGGTGCTGTTTGCGCCCAGCGGAGCATAGAAGGACACTGCTCCAATGGCCGCTCCACAAACGGTGGGGCAGAAATTAATCACAATGCTTCGGCACTCCATGGCCTGGAGGGTAATGGTGCTGCTGTCGGTGCCGACCAGCTGAAAGCCGGGCCCCTGGATGCCTAAGCGTACGACGAGCCGCTTATCGGCCGTATTCTTCACCTGCAAGGACTTTCTCATGTCCGTTCTCAGCTTGGTGCTACCCCAGCAGAGGCTCGTGTGGGTCACTTTCAGTGGCAGCAGCTTTCCATCGCGATGGCTGAACTCGCTGGAGTTTGAGCAGCGGGAGATGCTGCGAGCACTGCCACTGGCACTAGTGCCAGCGCCTCGCCTAGGGTTTGTGAATCCGCTTGTGGAACTGGCCTCGCTGCCTGCCGGCGACGAGTTGGCTTTGCGGAGTGCTGCCCCGGGCATCAGTTGTCGGCGCTCGGAGCTGGTGGTGCTGTCCAAAAGTGGCGACGACAGGCAGCTTCTGGGCGAGCACATCGGAGAAAGATTACGGGCATTGGCCGATGCCGAAAGGGAGGGACTCTTGCCCAGACTTGGCGAAACAACAAACTCGCCTTCTGTGGACGAGGGGACAGCATCGCAGCCGTCCAAACGAGTGGAGCTCAGCGTGTTGGCGTTGGGATTGGTATTGGGGGGGAGGAGTGACCCTTTGAGAGCATGCGTCTTTTTGTTCACCGGAGTCTTGTTCTCATCCACCTCATCCCCATCTTCGTCTGTGGTCGGCAGCGGCCGCACACCGTCGCTGCTCGCTGGACTTGCAGTTCGGGGAGATGGGGATGCCTTGACGCGGCGCACACGTCTTGTAGGCGACTTCACTGGCGTCGACGGCCATTCATCTACATCGGCCTCTATGGAAATGGAATCGTTGTCCGCACGCGAAATCAAGATCTGGGGTTTGTCCGCCAGCGGACTAAGGGGTTTCCGCGACACACTTTGCTGCAGATGCTTAAAATCGGTGGAGTTCAGAATGGAGTCTGTGAAGCTCATGGTCTCCGCATGCTTGTGCGATTCACACAGTGTTCGCTCCGCATTGAAGCTGTCGTTTTCCTTATCCTCATCTGCGTACAGCTGACCCCGACCCTGACCACGGCCATGCTTCCGCAATCTGTCGACCACCTCTACAGTGGAGGTGTCCGAGTTAAAGTCCAGATCTCTCAAAGCCTTGTCTATAGCCGAGAGACTTAATATCTCTGAGTTTGAGGGAGGCCGCGCGGGTTCAGTACCGCTTTCTGACAGTACGGCACTCTGAAATTTTTTTTTCGCATTTTGCATTTTCTTCATGAGATTTTGGCCTAATTTCGACCCAAAATTGGCCTCTGTCTTGGTGTAGGTTTTGTTATCGGGCTGCGGAGTCTTTGCTCCGACAGAGCCGGGAGTTTGGGGGATGTCTTCGAGCACGGCCTGACCTGAACGGGACAGTCTGTCGGGACGCTTGTTGCTCACAATGTTCCAGATATTCTCCGAGCGTGTCTGGAAATAGTGGCCCAAGGAGAAGTCCGGATCCCCAGCCAAAACAGAGCTGAAACAGGAGAGGGTAGATTAATTAGGAAAGAATGTGGTCGTACGATTCGCATCAACTCACTTTGAAACGGATGTCTCTATGTCGGACGAGGGTGGTGGGGCTGCAATCTTCTGCATTGCCTGGTTACTCAGCGTTGCCGTGGGCATGGCAGTGAACTCCTGGGCCCAGGATATCTCGCCCAGAACCAATTTGGACTGCATCAGCTCGGCTGGTGCAAAGCTCTCATCCATGTCTTGGTTAGCTGCCGCAGATGCCGAGCCGAAGGAGAAGCCTCCGCCGCCGTTCAGACTTAAGTTGCTCAAGTCAGCGGTACGCGGCAGGCTGTGCGAGCAGTTGCAGGAAGACTCCGTCAGACTGCTCACATTCGAAGTGGAGCCTGGATTCGCCTGGCTAGCATTGTGCAGCTTCTTCTCTAGCTGACGGGCCTTTTCCACAAACGATGTTTTTATTATGTCGGCCACCGAAACCCCTTTTCTGCTCTTGTCGCTGCGGCACAGCGTCGAGCGGCCGGTGATCTCGGCTGGCTCGAAGGAAATGTTTGCGCGCTTCTGGGCTGGCGTGGGAGCGGCAAATGAGCCACTGCTGTTTAGATCGATTGTTTCATCGGTGACCAGCTCCGAGATGTTTGTGCTGTTGTTGGTCGGGACGCTCTGCCGGCCCCTTATTGATGGCTTTGCCTGACTGGAGCGCGGGCGCGACTTTTCTAGTGTCTCCATGGCTCGCAGGCGCTCTGCCCGCAGACGTTCGTGCACATTGGAGGCCTCCCTGAGACCCATGCCGCTTCCGTTCCCGCTCTTGCTGAAGCTGGACAAGTCACCAAACACTGCAAATATCAGAATTTAATTTCGCACAAATACACATTCGGTATTTTTGCTTCTCTTTACCTTTCAGATTCTCCATGCTCAATATGCCCAACGAGTTTTGGTCCATTTGGCTGCTATTTCTAGGGCTCCTATTGCCTTTATTCATCCCGTTTGACTATTTTCTCACAGTTTTAACAATAACAAAACAATTTTGCCTGCGAAAAAGGAGACGCTTGGGTTCCAAAATGGGCGCCGATATCAGTGTTGGTCAAAACGGAGCGGGAAAAATTCCAATAGATTTTCGAACAGAGTTGCACTTCAGCAAGTCGACTGTGAAAAATACCTCAGATACATATCGGTGTGGTTACATCTCTTTTGAACGGCGGCATTATTCGGCATAAGGAGGCGTGTGCTGTTAGTTGAATTTTATTGTGTGTTTCAAGGTTACAAGTAGAAACAAATCTCAAAGAGACCAACAATGGAGGCGGCACTGGATGAAATAATTGCCGGTCTGCTGTGCACAGATACCCAACGCATACACGACGTAAGCATAAAAAGCATATCCACCAGGAATCCATTTTCCGAACCTGTCCGTCCGAATTTTCCGGTCTTTTCCGCCGGCGTGATTTCTTATTCCCATTAACGTAAATATGCATAAAACAGTGGTAAGAACATGCCTATGCATAGCTTCTATTGGCATGTGGTTTCTTTTTCGTCGATACTCATAGATTTGAATAAGAGACATTTGCGTTAAAAAGCACGTTGTGCACGCTCACGCACACAGTCTCCCCTCCTGTTAATTGAAAAATTATTAATGCTGAAAATATACATATGTATGTATGCTCGTTTGTATTTGACTAGTGCACCGCCGCTTTGAGTAAGGCGTTCGAAAACCCAGAGGCACTGCCGGTGCTCTGCCAGATGCTGGTATCGACCCGCGAGACGCAAATCCGCCAGTTTGCAGTTGTCCTGATGAACAAGCGCCTTGCAAAGCTGCGCCACTGGCAGATGGTGCCGCCCGAACATCAGGCAGGGTAAGTGGATAGATTAGATGGTCTTCTATATTCTGCGGGATCTACTGACTCCTTCTGTTTGTGCCCCGCGCAGCATTAAGGCTTGCATGCTCCAGGCATTGATAAGGGAGAAGGAAAAGAGCGTAAAGAATGCCATAGCCATGCTTATTGGGACTTTAGTGCGTCATGAGGCAGACAAAAAGGACTCGTGGTTGGCCGAATTGCTGAGCTTTATTTTCGAACGCTGCAGCATGGACGATCCCAAAGAGAGTGAGCTGGGATCATCCATATTCGCCAGTCTGACCGACAGCGCCCCAGATCAATTGATCAGCCAAATGTCTGAGATTTGTCAACTCTTCTCGAGTGTGCTGATAGCCGGCCAGAGCAATGGAGATATGGCCACGCTCACTATAGCCTATATGATGCAGGGAATGTGTTCCTTGATTCCATTCATTGTCGGCCACACAAAGGCAGAGCAGACGGTTTCCAAAGTCATCCCGCTGATGCTCGCTGCTCTCCAGGCCTTTGTCCAAAAGGGAGTCCTGACAGAATTCACTATCGCCTTTGAGATCCTGGATTCCGTTGCAGAGTACGCGCCGAAACTGCTGAATAATTACATAAAGATGTTGGTTGATTTCTGTGTGGCGACGCTGAGTAACAAGCAGGTAGATGATCAAATCCGTGTTGTGGTGGTGACCTTTGTCGGTCGCATCCTCCGCGTCAAGAAGAAGGCAATCGTCAAGCAGAAACTCCTGGACCTCATCCTAGTCACCGTATTCGAGATGACGTGTAGTGAACTCGGCAACGATGATGGTTCGTAGTTCATAACTTTAAACATTGTTAGCCTTTGCTAATTGTAAACCTTTAGAGGACGACTATTTCTCGGGTACTAGCAACACGCCCATGACCGCGGCTACACAAACCCTCGATATGATGGCTCTCCAGTTGTCGCCAGAAAAGCTGATTCCACCACTTCTGCAGATTCTCGAGCCAGCTCTCCAGAGTCCGGACCCTCTGCGCCGTCGCGCCGCCTTCATGGCCATGGCCGTCATCTCCGAGGGTTGCTCGGAAGCCATCAAAAAGAAATACTTGGAAATAATGCTAAACATAATCAAGAGCGGCATCATCGATCAGGATCAAGCCGTGCGCAATTCGGCCTTCTTTGCATTGGGCCAGTTCTCCGAGTTTATGCAGCCCGAGATAGCGAAGTTCGCCCCACAGATTCTGCCCGTGCTCTTTGAGTTTCTCCACCAACTGGTTGTGGAGCTGAAGGTAGGTCTTTTCTATTGGAAAATGATCAGTCAAGTCAGTATCTATCTGTATCTTCATATATGTATTATACATTCTTGTTTGTGCTGCTTCTAAAGGCTGGCCATGGGATGGGCCATGCTCCTGCAGCAGCCCCGGCCAAAGATTCTATAATGTACACGAGTCAGTTACAGATCAAGCGCATATCGGTGCTGGCCAAGTATAGGGTGCTGTGCTCTTTCTTTGATTAATTCCTGCACTCCATCTCCACCATGCCAAAAGGGTTTCTGTTGTCCGTCTAGCTTGGGAATCTTGGGAATCCAAACACACACTTTCATATAACATTCACGTGGCACCTGCAAATTTTCTCCCGCGTCTAAAGAACACACTTTAATAAGAGCCTTGCTGAACATTTACAGATGGGCCAGCCGGAACCCACACACATGGATCGCATGTTCTATGCCCTGGAGGTTTTCTGCGAGAACCTCGAGGAAGAGATTGTGCCACATCTGCCGGTGCTGATGGATCGGTAATTTAAAAATTTTGCCCATTTTTGTGTGCATCTAGTAATCCTTGTTCACCCATTCATCCATCAGTCTGTTGGAGTGCATGGATCAGCAGAACTCTATTCATATTCGACAGCTGGCCCTGTCAACCATCTCGTCGGTTGCCACCGCATCGAAGACGAATTTGGTCCCATACTTCAGTCAGATTGTGGAGATACTGAAGATTTATCTGGTGAATGAGTGCGACGAGTCGCTCAATGAGCTACGCATTCAGGCCATCGATACACTGGCTTCTATTACCCGAACCGTTGGTAAAGAGAACTTTATTCATCTCGCCCAAGACACGATGAATTATTGCATGAATATGCTGGAGCTGGGACCAGACGATCCAGACCTAAGGCGTGCCATCTACGCCTTAATTGGTGGCATGTCCGTTGTTGTCACAAACGATATGAACACGTTCTTCCCTAAGGTTATCGAACGCATGATTCAGACGGTGGTGTCGACGGAAGATGCTTTGATAAAGCTACGAGAAGACTCGCCGACGGGCGGGCTCTTAACTGAAATCGATCTGGGCAATACCGACGATGAGGACGATGATGACGATATAGGGGAATATCAGGCGGAGAATGACTACGTCTATGAGAAGGAGGAGGCCATACTGACGCTCAAGGAGTTCGCAGTAAATTCGAGAGACGCCTTTTTCCCCTACCTCACCATGGTGTTCGAGGAGGTGTACAAAACAATAGATCATTGCCAGGATGTCATCCGCAAGGCAGCCATCGAGGCCCTATGCGCGTTTGTAATTTGCCTCCACAAGATGAACGACGGAGACGGAGTAAAGCGCGCATGCTCGATTCTCATTCCAAAGTTTATTTACCTTGTTAAGAACGACGAGGAACAGGCCGTCGTCTGTCAAATACTCGATGAGCTTGGCGAGCTCTTCAAGGCCGTGAAGACGCCGGCCTTGCCCACCCCTGATCTTGCTGAGACGGTTGTTGCCTGCATCAAAGATGTGCTGCTCAGAAATACGGCCTGCCAGTTCAATGAGCCTAGTGGCGGTGGAGATGAGGAGGAGGCCGATGAAAGCGAGTACGATGAGGCGCTCATCCAAAGTGGTGGCAATCTGGTGGCCATGATTGGCCACGCCCTCCAACCTGACACATACTCGCTGTATTTTGGACGACTGTACAATTTCTTCATTTCCAAACTGGTATGCATACAATTCAGATCACACCTACGCAGATGAATAACCATTTCATTTAATTCGATTCCATTCCTGTAGGCAAAGGCCAAGAAGAACGATGATCCAGACCAGCGTTCATTTATCTATGGCGTCCTGGCCGAATGCTTCCAATCGTTGGGACTCTGTGTGGTCACCTATTACGATTCGGTCTGTCCCTTGCTTCTAGTGGGCACCACCGACTCGTACGCCAAGGCGCGCCAAAACAGCTACTTCGGCCTGGGCGAACTGGTCTATCACGCCAAACAGAAGTCCTTTGAGTGAGTGAAAAAAAAAAACCAAACCAAATACAAGATAAATGTATTGAATTTCGCCACTTTTCAGCTCGTTTGGAGTGATTTTGCAAACCCTCTCCGATGCGATTGCCAAGGAGCAGAATGCCCCTGCCCTGGACAATATATGCGGGGCTGTGGCACGCCTGATCATAACCAATCACAATATGGTGCCCCTGGGTCATGTGTTGCCCGTATTCATGTCTAATCTGCCCCTCCGCGAGGACACTGAAGAAAATGACGTGGTGCTGAAGGCCTTCCGCGTGTTGTACATGAATACACGTGAGAGTATTCTCCCTCACATCGAGCAGATGCTGGGCATCATCTTGCATGTGCTGTTCAAGCAGGAGTTTCGCGATAATGACACCAACGCCAATGCAGTTAGTTTCATGAAGGAAATCCGTATCGAGTATCCACAGCAATTCAACAGAGTGGCCAACTCGAGTCCGGAGGTGTTCACATTCGTGCAGACCCTGTAAGCAGCACCAGCGCGGCTCTAATATCAGACCTCGCAACAAATACCTTGCTCATACACATACACATTCAAGAGAGTTCCAGGCCAAAGTTTCTTCAGTTTCGGAGTAAAAACAAATCTCATAACCTTGATGTAATCGAAGTTCAGTCAAAATTTTTCAAAAATTCTCACGTTTGTCCACACACAGTACACAGTACACGCAGTGATGTCAGTCAGTCCCAAAATATTGGGCACGTTCATAGATACACATAAAAACTCTCGAAGAAATCCATCTCGGAGATAGTACATGGAGATACACGATAGATACGAGCTAATGGAATGTTAACGAAATGTTTTTTAATTTATAATTGCAAAGCGATATGGAATAGTCTGAAATAAAATAAACGAATCAATAAAAACTAAACTAAAATGAGTTATATTTTATTCATATTCAAATCTCGGGAGAATCCTCTCCTATTTCTACCAGTGGGCACCTCGCTTAATGGCCACATCCCTTACAATGTCCGAATGATTGGCATGCAGCTTGAGACTGCCGTCCACATCGGTCCATCGCACATTGGAAGCATCATCGCCGGCCACTAGCTCCAGCTGACCCACCTGGCTGCCGTCCTCATCATGAAAGTTCAGAGCCGTTGTCTCCATCCAGGCATTGTCAGTGTTCCGAAAGTCGTCCACGTAGCCGCTATAGATATGTAGACCTTCCTTAAAAAACTTTTCCACCATATTGGCCTTGTCGGTGAAGTTGAGAGCCTCCTCCGTGAACTCTCGTTTGAGTGTAACGGTCACATTCTCGCCGGGATCCACCATGCCCCCCGGAATAGCCCACAGTTTGTTGTCTGAACGCTGAATGGCTACCATCTGAAGGATGTTCCTAAATGGGCAGAAGCAGAATAAAATGATCTAAAATCCATCAAAGTTCACTCACTTGCCGGTAGCTGCATTAGCCACGATTTGTCCATTCGCGTCGCGCTTCCAGCGTGTAACAATTGGATCAGCTGCATGATTGGGACCCCATCTGCCCAGGGAGCCACGCCCGCTCAGGCCGGTGCGTCCTATCGGGTTGCGGGGCAGGCCGTCTCTTACCTCGTAGGCACCGTGAAAGGACTCTCGATTCACCTGACCGTCGTTCTGGTTCCATTTCGGCTGGATCGTTTCACTTGGCAACGGCTCATCGGCCCAGACTTGTCCGCCAATGTGCGGCGCTGTGTACGAGGGCGGGCAGTACTCGGCATATGGCTCCGACCAAAAGACCTGCTCATCGGCAACTGGAAAACGGAGGACCCCACTACGGGGATACATACTGTTGCGGCACATCACATGCCGGAAGACTCCCGGCTTCACCATAGAGGCCATCATCTGAACGGGTGGGGATTTGGATGAGACGTGAACAGAGAACAGGATTGGTAGAAGAAACAGCACCACGAATTTCAAATTTGTCATCACGCGGCAGGAACTGCATTAAAATATTTGTAGGGTATGTCGTATGTATGTGCAAGCCGGCGAGCCTCCCCCCCTCTCTAGGTCACACACTTCCAGGTGTCTCCTTGAAAATTGCATCCCTGTGTAGTTGCCATGTAGCAAAATTAATTATATTTTGCTGAATGACCCTACATGTTTTTTAAAATAATACAATAAAAGTAAGTTATTAAAGTGCTGCTAGCTGTATTAGAACGAATATCAAAGTCAAGGAATATCTTTTCCGATCATGGCCGGGACACCTCCTAGAGTACATGGCCAAGCCAAAATCTTAAGGATCCATTTTATTATTATTTAATATGTTTAGATGTTACAAAAATTTCCGCTGAAATGCCCTGACCAACGTGTTAATTTAGATTAATCTAATCCTGGCGCAGCTGCAACTCCTGGGTTTCAATACCATCCTTGGTAATGATGTTGATCAGCACAGAGTCACCAGTGTATATGTCGCGCTCTGCGGCCGAAATGAAGGTGTCCGAGGCAACGGCCACAGCACGCTCCTTGGTTACCTCTGGGGCATCCTCGCCGTGCAGATTCATATTCTTGTAGCCAATTTGATTGTCCAGCACCGGCTGCAGCAAGGCTCCGGCTGTGCCGCCAGCACGGTAAGTGGCACGCTCGCAATGCCCAATGGGATCATAAGAGAAGACGACCCCCTTGCCGTCCTTGTCGATGCCAGCCAAAATGTTCGACACATAGTAGGGGAAGAAACGACGGTTGTACATGATAATGGAGAGCATCTGGGCCACGGCATCGGTGGTCATGGTCTTCAAGTGTGTGTGCTCGTAGTTCTGCATGCGCAACTTCATCAGGCCAGTCAGCGAGAGGGTGTCGCACCAGCAGCCCGTGGAGGCCAGCACCGTCTGGTTGGACAGCGGAAACAGTTTACTCTGTTTACGTGTGTGAATGTTGTAGCCACTGCTCAAGCGAGTGTCGGCAGCAATGACAACAAAGTCCTCGCCAGCAATGGCCACAATCGAGCTGCAAGGCGAAAATTAGCCGGAAACCACTAAACATTGCATTTTATGTGAAACTCACCCGCCATTAGACTCGTATGGTGAAAAGTCCGCATGCGAGACTCCAGGGACCTGGTAGTCTGGAAATTGCTCGATGCCTAGGTTGCTCATAATTTTACAAGTTATTTAGCGAAAAAAAAAACGTACGAATGATTTGCAAGTTTCGAGCGTTCGTTGAATACATTGGTTGATTGACTCACCCCCTTGAGACCATAACGCGTCTTAAAATATACTGGAAAATACTAAAAAATACTATGAAAAGTATAAATATTGCGAGGTGTGTGAGCTAGACGTGGTGACAAGAAAATAAGAAAATCCCATAAAGTATACGGTCTGACCTTCAAAAGTATATTCCAAAATATACCGTCTCATTTTAAAAAAATACTGACGAATAATTCATGTTCCATCCTTGTTCCTTGTTTTTGATATTCCGTGGAATATTACTAGCCATATAGAATTATCCGATAATTCTATCCGATTAATGAATCAATTTTCTACTTGACCGGCACATTGTTTTTGCCTTAATTTTTGTTGCTCAACAACAATATAGCGACTCGTATGATGGAAACCCGAGCTTAGCCCACTTAAGCCCCCTATATTTAAATAGTTCAACTACTCAAGGTAAATGGCGGAAAATATTAACAATTGTACATTCTTATAGATCCATCCTATCCTTCCCTTTAACTTGCCAAACCCCACGAATCTTTCATATGAACTGCGCTAAAATGATTACCCCCTTGGCTTATAATAGGTTAATAGTTCTCCGGCAAGCATTGAAACCATATTGCTTAATTTTGATGTTCCGTCAAATATAATAAGCTACATAGAACAGTTAGCCATGCCCACATAATTTTACCCAATAAATAAACCTATTTTCTACTTGACTGGATTATTTTAAACACTTTCTTCTATTGCATTTTGAGTAAACAGAGGTTTTAGTATAGAACTGAGGGGCATTGCAGAGATGAAATATCCCACCAAACGGCTTTCGATACTATCGACAGTTGCGCGCCAAATAGATATTGTTTGAAAGTGCCAAGGATATGAAAGCTAATTTAATATATTGATGAAATTGATCAAATATATTCATTGGACAAGCAGCACACCAGAGTGTCAACAGATCGTGATATGTTCGTTCTGAATGAATGCAAGATGCGTTTTCCAACAAACACATTTTGAAGAAAATAATTAATTTAATAATTGTATATTTATTTTTCAACAATTTGAGACAGTTTTTAAACTTAATCCTCATCTTCGTCATCAGAACTCGGCTCAGGACACATGCGGCACCTGCTCTCATTTACACCGTAGTTTACACAATATTCGCCCACACATTCGCAGCAACCATCATGGAACCATCTGTAACTGGTGGCTCCAGTCTTTAAGCATGTTTGGCGGCACTTGTTCCAGGATGTGCACTGATCCAAATAGAGTACAGTGCAGTTCACGAGGGACTCGGATAGATTATAACTGTCGTAATCATCCGTCGAAAATGAGACCACGCTCCAATTGTATGTGTAGCCATCGTTTGGAGAAGATGACATAGCTCTAAATAAGGGGGGTACTCCCTCGAATTCCTCGGTATGTGATTTCCTTTGCAGCTTCGCCAAATCGGGAAAAACACACTGAATATAAGAAAACGCAAATAGCATGTATATAATTGTTTTCATGCTGAAGAACTTATTGCAACTAAGACATTTATGTGCCCGGAGGCTGTCTTATAAGCCAGTCCACCAATTCAGGTAGAAAGTACAATTTTTGGCAGGTAGACAAAAGATTAACATCTGTCACAAAAAGAATCTCTACCTATGCTGGTTTGCAATATTTTCAAATTTTCAGTGCTAAAAACCGCTGGACCCAAGATCGACTGTTGCAATCGGAAAGCAACTCTACACCTTATGGCGACCGTTTACGGCCGGGAAATTTTGACTTCGAAGCCCAATAAAGGGATAAAACATGGGATAATATGTTTCACGGTCCAAGTAATAAATATTAAGCCGAACATTAAAATCAAGGAATAAAAATATGAATACAAACAGTTCGTCAGTATATTTACGGTATATTTTTAAACTGTGACGTATATTCCGGTATTTTTCTGAGGGTCAGCCACACTGATTTTATGTATACGCCAGCAAAGCGGCTAGCGGGAAAATTTTTCGGAGTTGAGAAAAAAGATTAATCCAATTATTCAAATATGTCTGATTATCGTTCACAATCTCGCGGCGGAGGACGCGGCGGTCAAGACTATTCAAACGACGATGATCCGCCCATGTCAAGACTCTTCATCATTTGCAATAAGGCGCATACAGAGGATGATTTCCGAGAGGCGTTCTCCGCTTACGGCGACATTGAAGATATCTGGGTGGTTAAGGACAAGCACACCCAAGAGAACAAAGGCATCGCCTATGTGAAGTTCTCCAAAACCTCCGATGCGGCAAAGGCGCAGGAGGAAATGAATGGCAAGACTATCGGAAAAATGGACAGAACCCTGAAGGTTCTGGTTGCCGCAAAGTAAGTGGTAGTCATGGAAAATTGATTTAAGTCGGACGTGTTTAATATAGTATGTGTATATAACATTTTAGCCGCAACCAAGGCTCGAATAAGTCTGAGAACGAGCAGGAAAAATACTTAAGACTGTTCATTGTAATCCCGAAGACCGCAACCGAAGACGACATACGGGACGAATTTGCCCAATGGGGCGAGGTTGAATCCGTGACCATTGTCAGGGAGAAGAACAATGGCAATCCTAAGGGATTTGGCTACGTTCGCTTCACAAAGTGCGTATGAATATGTCATTAGTCAAATAATGGTACAGATGGGACTAGTGTGTTTATTGCATTTCCACCAGATTCTATTATGCTGCCGTGGCCTTTGAGAACTGTTCGCCCAAGTACAAGGCTGTATTTGCCGAGCCCAAGGGCTCAACGCGTTCACAGCGTGATCAATACGGTCGTCCGGCCGAGGATAATCCCGTCTACAGCAATCCTGGACGTGGGAGCTCGAGCTATAATAACAATGGCGGCAGCAGTGGGGGCGGCAGCTTCAACAACGATTGGAATACTTCCACTAACAATGACATGTCCGCCTTCTTGCGCATGCAAAATGTGCCAGTTGCTCAACCGTCGTGCCTAGAGGTCACTGTCAGTAACTGCGTCAATCAGGATCAGCTTTGGCGTCTCTTCGATATTATTCCCGGCTTAGATTACTGTCAAATCATGCGCGAACGTAAGAACATATTATCTTCATGAAGAAAAACATTTACCAAGCTCTGAAATTGTTTGCAGATGGACCACGTACCAATGAAGCGATGGTGGTTTACGACAATCCCGAAGCGGCTATCTATGCAAAGTATGTCAATTTCTATATAGTGCTCGAAGGAGTTTCTTCTACCATTAATAATGTATATGCTTACAGGGACAAACTACACGGACTGGAGTACCCTATGGGCGAGCGCATCATTGTAAAAGTGAATGGCATGAGCTCTGCACGGATGGATACCTCATTCATTGACAGTACGAAAAAAGCTTCTAGGGGTAGATGCCGATACTAACATAAACAAAATTAAATTAGTTATTTTCTATAATTTCCCCATTTGGTTGTTTTACTAATTTACTAATTACTATTTGGTTATTGGTATATTGTATTTTATCTTACTTTATAATTGTTACCTATTTCAGAACGCACCAAAAAGGATGCCATATGCAATGTGCCCCTGCCTCCTGCCCAGCCTTTAGCATCACCCGATGCCCAAGTTGCCCAACGACTTTTCATTGTGCTCTCTGCGGTAGGTTTACATCTACACCTACAGCTCAAAATAAAGCAAAATCTAATTATTGTTCATGCTATTCTTTAACAGAATCTTCCACACTCCATTCTGAAGAACATATTCTCGTGCTGGAAAGGGCTCATCGATGTATATTTGCTTCCCAACAAGAACTGTGGCTACGTGAAGTACGCAGAGTGTGAAAGTGCGCAAAGGGCCATTCATGTCCTGAACGGAGCTGAAATATGCGGCACGAAAATAAAGGTACATAATAGGAATAATATTTAAACAAACATGTCTAAACGAGAATATTGTGTGGTTGGTAGGTTATGGAAGCGGAAGAGCGAAGCGGATCAGACGGTGACGATGGCGGCCGGAAGCGTTTGAGACGCAATTAAGTGTAAGTATGAACTTTACGATACTCAGAATTTTGCCTCGATGTATTAATTTAGCCATAATTGGAATGAGTGTGTGGTGCCATGGTATGAGGTAAGTCGTTAGTCTATAAACTCGATTTTAAAACTATTTAAATTATGCATACGCCTAACGCTTTTGTTCAGACAGTCTACTGATTCGTATTCGTACCAACACCCTGCGCACAATGGGGGGGATGGGCCATTGACGATGCGGTGCCTCTGACTGTGAACATAATAAGAACAAAACATTTTTATCTTTCTATTTTCACAGACCCACTGACAACAAAATGAACTTACAGAGAACTATATGTACGAGTACTTTACTAACTTGAGAAAACAGTCCAATCAAACACAGTTCAACTGACCAACAACCAACAACCAAACAACAAAACACTCAAAACGGAAAGCAACAAGAACGCAGAACCAAAAACACAAGTGCATTACTGCGATACAGACTCGGAGAACGAGAACGCAGAACGCAGAACGTCGAACGCTGACCGGAGAACGGAGGACAAACAGCCAACACGAATCCAACCGTACAATTGACTCATACATACTCAAGTGGGCTCATACAGAGTACTCGTAGAAAGACCCAGACCTTAAACGGAGCCAACGAAACCAACAAACCAACCAACCAAGCGCAAGCTTGTTAAACCAACCAACAGCTAGGGGACTATCGGATCTATCCGCAATACCGTTACGAAGCAAGCTACAAACCATACACGAACTCTGTTTACCATGTACTATTTACTAACGTATTACGACATGATAAAGAAACAAGAAATTCAATTCAATACGAGTGCAAGTCTCTATTCATCTTCGCTAATTCGCGAATTCGCGAATTAATCATGCATAAATTACATACATATATTTACAAGTATATATATGACATATTTTAATCAATATTTTATTGTGTAAGCCATTCAAATGATATTAATAAACGAAAAATCCACACAACTACATTTGTTTCAATTATATTTGTGTTTAATGCAGAAAGAAATGGATCCGATCCAGAAGGCAAAAACAATTTAGTCTCACAACGATATTGTGCAGTTTATTGTATTATTACAGAGACCAAGAATAGGTATCAGGATCGAGATATATATATATGCAAGATACCAATCATATTCATGAACTTGTCTAAAACATATCAATTTGCGATAAGGTCTTTTTTAATTACGTTTTATCTTCATATTAAATTAACGAAATAGTGTATACAAAGGCCTATACACGCATCATGTCTTCAAATACCAGCAACACTGCGACTGTTTTTTTTGTTGAACTATTTTGTTTAAGCCTTGTTCTAGCCAAAATACAATAAAAGCATGGACTAAAAACTAGCCAATCTTGAAGAAAATTTATTCATCAACGGCCTAAAAGGGTTTTAGTCAGAACTAAGGGTTTTAGTTAGCCAGAATTATTCAACAGAATCTCTAAATTGAGCAATATGAACGACTATCCTCTTTCGTTTTTTTGTGTGACCTATTTCGCTAAAACCTTTTTTACGCAAAATAAAATAAAAACAAGTGCTTAAAATAAACCAGTCAATTAGAAAATAGATTCACTAATCGGATAAAACTATGTGGGAATGGCTAAATATTCTATATAGCTAGTAATATTAAACGGAATATCAAAAACGGGGAATATGTAAAATAGAACTTGAATTCGTCAGTATATTTACGGTATATTTGTAAAATGCGACGGTATATTTCGGTATATTTTATCGATAAAATGTACAATATCTGACGATTTCTGTTTGGATTCTGTAAATTTATTAAAATAGCAAAAACAAGTTAAATTAGGTTAAAAATTTGTAAGCGGGACCTAATAATTAAGCAAAATGGATCCAGCGCTGCTTCGCGAACGCGAGGCCTTCAAAAAACGGGCAATGGCCACGCCCACGTAAGCTACTCCTTATATTTCCATGCAAATGCTGTTCCCTTGAAAATGTGCCATTCTGTGTCCTCTTCACAGCGTTGAGAAGAAAGCAAAGCCGGACCGACCTCAGCCACCGCCGATAAGCGATGACGCCAAGAGGAAAATGCGTCCGCCAACGGCTCCAAAGCTGGATGCATCTTCGTAAGTTCCAAAGGCTCTTTGTCGTGGCCATACTCAGTGTACGTTCCATTTGGAAATCATCCACTTTTAGGTACAAAACCATGTCTGGCAGCTCGCAGTACCGCTTTGGAGTGTTGGCCAAGATAGTGAAGTTTATGCGTACCCGCCACCAGGACGGTGATGATCATCCACTGCAGATTGAGGAAATTCTAGACGAGACCAACCAACTGGACATTGGCCAGTCTGTTAAGAATGTAAGCAGATGAAATATCCCCCTGGCTGTCAGAATAATGTCTTACCATCCATTGCAGTGGCTATCTGGAGAGGCGCTAAACAACAACCCAAAGATAGAAGTCAGCCCGTGTGGCACGAAGTTTAGCTTCAAGCCCGTGTACAAAATCAAAGATGGCAAAACTCTAATGCGACTGCTGAAGCAGCATGATCTGAAAGGCCTGGGTGGCATACTGATGGAGGATGTGCAGGAGTCCCTGCCCCATTGCGAGAAGGTCTTGAAAAATCGTGCAGCAGAAATACTCTTTATTATCAGGCCCATTGACAAGAAGAAAATTTTATTTTACAACGACCGAACGGCCAATTTTTCGGTGAGCTTTGTCCTACTTCTGCCTTGTGCTTCTGCTTAAATTGTTTAGCCATTCAACGAAATTCAACGAAACCCATAGGTTGACGATGAATTCCAAAAACTCTGGCGTTCGGCCACTGTTGATGCCATGGACGACGCCAAAATCGACGAATATCTCGAGAAACAAGGTAATAATGATAATGCCGAATACATATGGATAGATTCTTTGATATTCTGGTAACACATATTGTGTCCCGACAGGTATACGGTCAATGCAAGATCATGGCCTCAAGAAACCTGTTCCAAAACGCAAAAAGGCTGCCAACAAGAAGCGACAATTCAAGAAGCCCAGAGATAACGAGCATTTGGCTGATGTTCTGGAAATCTATGAGGATAATACCTTAACGCTAAAGGGCGTGAATCCTACGTAGAAATTATGTTATAGACTAGAAAATAAGGAACCCATTAAAAGAAGGTCTTTATCTTACTAATACCGAATCTTACTATGGCAGAGATATGATATAGTAATAAGATACTTATTGAAAATGATGGATAAATATGTCCTGGCAAGTGCGCAGGTACTCTCAAGCTGTTTTAATAGGTGTTAAATATGTTAAATAAAGGATTCGAGCATTTTCAATTTATGTACAATGGTATGTACAATTTATTATTATAGCAACACTATGATATGATTTTTGGATTTAATGAACAATATGGGGCTGCGAAATCCGAAACGTTTCACGAATAGTGTACATATGTGTGAAATGCGATTGTATAAAACAAAAACAGCTTTAAGAACAAGTGTTATAAATATGTTCACTTATGCACAATCTCATTGAGAACCTCGCGGGGTGCTCTAGTACGTGTTGCGGTGACTCTTTCCCTAATGATTTACGAAACCACACCAAGCCAAACGATTGCCATCTTCCAGTTCCAGTGGTTTTGAACTTAGAAATACGACATCAAGAGCAGGGAAAGATAGTTAAAAAGCAAAGACGTGTTATCTTGCCTTGTCTTGACATAACTTGCCATTCTGCGACCCCTTCCTGCTGATATTTTTGAGTGCTTCACAGTCCCGTGCAGTTGAGTGTGTGTTGGCAATCGATGCTACTGCTGCTGCTTCTGCCAAGCAAATAAATTGGCAATAGCTAAAAACAAATAGGTTCAGTCTACAGTGAAGTGCTCTCTAACACAGTCGGAATAGAGAGTAAGTACATTGAAAGACGCACCGATTGAAGAATTCAATCATCCTGTAACGCTTCAAACTACGCATTAATAATAGTATAGCATATACGATAAGGGTATACGAACTTCGACCTGCTGTTAAGACCTGCTCGTTCTTTGCTCGCTGCCACCGACGCAGAGTGGAGGCCAAAACTTGTTTTGAAATAATCAATTTCATGTACATATTCGTTTAGTATTCCCCAAGCCATTTGACGCCAGTTGACTTCGAGCTTTTCGCCTTTGAACGTTGACAATATGAAGAGGCCTGCACAACCAGTGGCCCTGCTCCTGGCCCTGGCTGCCATTGTTGTACCCATAGCCGCAAACAGATCTGAGTAAGTTATAGAAAATACATTTAAATACATGTACATACCTGTACATACATATGTACATAACTGTGCATAATTTGTTTATTTTGTATGCATGATTGGTTGGGGGCAATGTACGAGTAACTTTCCCTTTGTTTGCAATATTTTTTTGCTGCAGAGACCTGGTCTATGGCTATGAATGCCGCACTGGACTTTGCCGCAAGGTGGAGCTGAGCGAGGAGAACTTCTCCAAGGCTATCAGTCTGCCCGTCTGCAGGCTCTTCTGCGACAGCTCCATTGGCACGCTGTGGCCCAAGCCGACGGGACCGGTTCGACTGGATACACTGATGCGCCAAGTGGACATCTCGTTCATTGACTTCAATATTACTGGCATCGCACGCAAGGAAAAACTATGGAAGGCAGCGGAAAACCGGTGGATGGATATGGTGGATGCCAAGATACCCGATCGCAAGATCCTCACGAGGGGCGGCTATCGGCTCACCATCAACATCAACACCCCGGATGATGCGGCTCCTGCCAAACTTACCCTGGAAACGGACGAAAGCTATAGTCTCAACATAGACACCGATCCGTCTGGCCATGTGGTGGCTATCATAGCTGCGGCCAACTTCTTTGGTGCCCGGCATGGCCTGGAGACTCTCTCCCAACTGATTGTCTACGATGACATTCGGCGCGAGGTTCAGGTGACGGCCAACGCTTCCATCAGCGATGCTCCCAAATTCAAGTGGCGCGGCCTGCTCCTGGATACCTCTCGCAATTACTACTCCGTGAAGGCAATCAAGCGAACTCTTGGTACGTACTGGGTATTTGCGCCCCCATGAGTGCCCTTCTAATGATCTCATTGTTTGCAGATGGAATGGCCTTGGTCAAGCTGAACACCTTCCACTGGCACATTACCGACTCGCACAGCTTCCCCCTGGAGCTGCGCAAGCGACCAGAGCTATACAAGCTGGGTGCCTACTCGCCCCGCCAGGTGTATAGCCAGCGGACTGTGGCCGACATCGTGGAGTATGGTCGAGTGCGCGGAGTCCGCGTGATGCCAGAATTCGACGCCCCTGCCCATGTGGGCGAGGGATGGCAGCACAAGAACATGACGGCCTGCTTCAATGCTCAGCCCTGGAAGGATTTCTGCGTGGAGCCACCTTGTGGACAGCTGGATCCCACTGCGGAGGGGCTCTATGATGTGCTAGAGGACATTTACGCCGAGATGTGGGAGCTCTTCAGCCCAGATATTTTCCACATGGGCGGCGACGAGGTATCCACCAGTTGCTGGAACAGCAGTCTGCCAATCCGCCAATGGATGAAGGATCAGGGCTGGGGCCTGGAGACTGCTGATTTCATGCGCCTGTGGGGACACTTCCAGACCGAGGCCCTTAAACGGGTGGACATTGTGGCCAACGGATCACAAACGCCTATCATTCTGTGGACCAGTCATCTCACGGAGGAGCCTTTTATCGATGAGTACTTGAACCCGGAGCGTTATATTATCCAGATTTGGACGACGGGCGGCGATCCTCATGTGAAGAAAATACTAGAGCGGGGCTTCAAGACAATTGTCTCAAACTACGATGCCCTCTACTTGGACTGCGGCGGAGCTGGATGGGTGAGCGACGGCAACAACTGGTGCTCCCCCTACATTGGATGGCAGAAGGTGTATGACAACAGCATGTCGGCCATTGCCGGCGACTACGAGCATCATGTGCTGGGCGCCGAGGCAGCCATTTGGTCCGAGCAAATCGATGAGCATACCCTGGACAACAGGTTCTGGCCGCGGGCCAGTGCTCTGGCCGAACGCCTCTGGTCGAATCCCGCCGAGAGCTGGAAACAGGCCGAGTCGCGTCTGCTGCTCCACCGGGAGCGGCTGGTGGAGAACGGCCTGGGCGCCGAGGCCCTGCAGCCCCAATGGTGTCTTCAGAATGAACGCGAATGCCCCATTGACGCGTATGATGCACAAGCTTGATTAGCGATAAACCATTCTTTGATTACAGTCCATATTCTTGTAGCAATAGTCTGTACGGGCGCACAGGGCATCGGTTGGTGACCCGCCATCTCGGCTTACTGCTCGCCGTACCTCTCTCTATCCGTCGCCTAAAATAAATTGCAGCCCAGAAAGTGACCTTACGCAAGTGACTTGTCGTTTATTTAGTATTCTATAAATGAGATTATACGTGTGTCATTATGTATTAAAACGGGATGAGGCGGTGGGCGATGGCCTCTGCCTCCGACATAATCCTTGTGGACTTTGAATATGTTGTACGTATGGATTTAAATACTAAAAGAAGCGGTTTCCTACATGCAGCAAACAATGGATGACTCTCTATTCGTTCCACTCCTCCTCGTTGCGCCCGAACTTGTAGACCAAACTGGCGAACAATATGAAGACATTCTGTAGAAGTAGGGCGACGCCTAGCCAGGCCTCTTTCTTATCTAATAGGAGCAATTACTGATTATTCTATTGTTCTCACTTGACAAAAGTTTTTCTCTTACCATTGTTTATGAAATCATCAATCATCACCCAAATGGCAGCAATGATTGAGGCGAAGCCCATTACAAAGCCAATAAGGAGCCACAGTTTGGCAATCCTGGCTCCGGACTCCGACGAGTTATCCTCTGAAATCTAAACAGAACGAACCGTAAAAACAGTGACTCATTTTATCTATACACTGTGTGTTGTGGCTCGCTCATTCTTACATGCTCTCCTTTGACGGCGTTCACCATACAGAAGCTGATGGTGCCGAATATGCCTATAAAGACATGTCCTGTGGTAATTTGATGACCGCCGTCGCCAGACATGGCATCGATTAGGATCCACCATCCTGCAAAGAACTGAAAAAAAAAACTTCCACAATTACAAAAGTCTAGTTTTTGCGGTGGTATTGCATACCAGTAGGCCAGCTACAAGCGAGGAATTTTTATTCCTAGAGGTGTCTGATGTGAACCATTCCCAGACTTTCTCAAACACGCCCATTATTGTACTTAGAACGTAGTTAAAATAATTTATTTTATTTTGCACTTTCGGTCGAGATATGACAACAATGGCTTAGAGATGTGGAGTGCTCGATATTCGACTTCTATAAATTCGAAGTCGCTATCGATGGTCGCTACAGTCGACTATCGATAGCATCCATCCATCCATGTTGTTGCTGCGAAACACGTGCGAGTGCCAAAACATTGACTAAGTATTTAAAACATGAAGAAAACGGTGGAAGAAAGTTCTTCAGAATCGGAGGAGCTCCTTGCCGAGAACTCTGAGGAGTCTGAAGACGAAAGTGAACCGGATTTAGGAGCCAGCTCAACGGAGTCCGATGAAGACGACGACGACGACGCGGCGGAATCCTCCGACGATGAGGAGACAGGCACAACAACCAAGACCCGAGCAGAGATCATCGAAGAAAAGATTCAAAACAAGTATGAGAAACTTAAAGGCACGCGTCTTTATGTCCGCTTTCCGAAGAAGATACCAATAGATGAGCAGGAGTTCCAGGCCAATGTCAAGTCCCTCCACCCCCTGGTATCCAAATCGACAAAGCCGCGCCAGAAGCACGCTCGTTTCTGTCTGGTTGATTTTAAATCGCAGGAAGACCGCGATCAGGCTTTTGAAGATATAAAAAAATCGATAGAAACGGATCCTGCGTTTAAGGGGATTTTCGTCTCCCTACCGAAGACCGATTCTGATGAGTTTGTGAACGAACTTGTGACCAAACAGCAGCTCTCCGTGGAGAACAAGAGGACCAAATCCCTGATGAAGCGTGAAGCGAAGAAGGGCCAACGCAAGGGTAACTTCACATCGTCTGTCGTCATCACCAATCTGCCCAAGACGAGCTCTGTGGCGCAGGTGCGCCAGCTGTTCGAGAATGCCGTTGACATACAAATCAAGCCGGGCAAGGGAAAATTCCGGGAGTTTAGTGCGGCCACAGTAACCCTGCCCACCACATTCGATGCACGCAAGGCCATCAAACAGGACCTCAGTCTGGCCGGCACCAAGCTGCAGCTACGCTTCAACGCCAAACAGCAGAAACGCAAGCCGAAAGATAAGCTCAAGCGTAAAGCAGAAAGCGGGGAAGCCCCCCGAGTACCGAAAAAGTTGAAGAAACTTAATGCAAACTAGCATTTAATGTATATATTCTAAGAACTCGTATAAATAAATTTTTTTGACCCGAATCTGATGCGTATTTTAATTATTTTTCAAACGAGGACACAATTTAATTTAAAATATTTATTATCGTACACGATATACAGACATACATATGTATAGATATATTTTTATGTGTATGTATATATAGTAGTATATATTGTAGTAAGCCGGCTGAGTGAATTACTGGATATACATAGATTGGTTACTTTTTAGCTTATATATTTATGAGATTTGATTTCCATGTGCACAGAGACTTGACGACTGGTTTTTTGTAATTGTATTTGTAGTTTCAAAGGTGTTCCAACAATAAGCGGGTAGATAGAGATAAAGGTAGAGGTGAAGGTAATGGTAATTCATATGTGTAGTTTCAATCCTAATACAAAATATTCAACATTCGCATATACTCGGTATGTATGTATGTAACATAATGTTTTGGTTCCAATAGACCTGCTCTGATATACATATTGATATTGCATATAAACGTATGTATATATCATTGACAGCGGTCACAGACACAGCTGCAATTGCCATCGTCCCTGTTCCTGTCGCTGTGCCCCCTCTGTGCATCTTATCGTGCGACGCTTTATTGATTTTTAGCAATATTTCAAAATCTGAGAGTGGGAGTAAAATATATATACCCGTTGATGGGGGGCTAAAAATAGGGGCAACGCAATGGTAAGGATTCTATTCGATTAAAATATAAAAATGCACATTAATGGCGGAGGAGAATAGACACGCGTTTCATTTTTGTATATAGCTCGTTAAGATAGTAAATATTCTTAGTTGCTAGAATGAATTGTTTTAGTTATTCAAAAGTGTTGTAAATATAATCAAAATTTATATTCCCTTTTCGTAGCGTAGCTCTATTTATGAATTCCAGAAACCAAAGCCGTCTCTAGGCGGCCGCCGCTTTCCTATCGATTTCCGTTCACTTCATCATCCTCTCGCGCTATCAAGCAGTCTCACATATTTGCTGTTATTTGTTCTTTCGTCTCTCTGTTTTCTCCGTCTCGGTCTCCCAGGGGAGCCCTGCTTTGCAGGCCAGCCCAGCCCAGCTCACAAGGCTCTTCAATAAGGCGTTGGAACATCCGCTCAGTTTGCTGATAAACTGAGTTTTGCAAAACTTTTGTGAATCATTCAAGAAAAATATTGTATTTATAATCTTCTGTATAGCTGATAAGGAAAGAATTCACATTAAGAACCAAAAAAGCTGAATGTCAAGGGACAAGACAAGGACCGTGAGTGTGTCGGTTGTGATAGATACGACTGTTTGGAGTAGGTGAAGTTGGGGCGTAGGGGCTTCTTTGGATAGCAATAATATTGTAATAATATATACCCCGAGAGTAAATTACGTATGCAGCAGTCGATCTCTGGCCGAAGGCGAGCAATTTTGGGGAGTTGAATGCGTGGCTGATGCCGCACCGCCGATGGCTCCGGTTGGTGGAGGAGGTGGCGGCTGTGCTGGTGGCGATCGCAATGGTATTGATGGCTGAACAAATCGCACACGTTCGGCATCCGTGGCGGTGTTGTTGCTGCTTGCCGCCGCTCCGGCTCCGGCCGCATTAAATGCCGACGTAAACGCTGTGGCGGCTCAAAGAGTGTGGTAATTACGCTCGTTGCGAGCCTTGTAGAACTTGTAGGCCACCAAGCCGATGGCCAGCAATCCCAGGGTCAGCACAATGCCACCGATAAATGAGGATCCATTGAAACCATGGCATGGCGATGGCGTTGGCGTCGGAGCGGGTGTGGTCGATGTATTTGGGGCCGCAGTTGTTGTCGTGTTGGGTGACGGAGTTGTAGACGAAGTGGTTGTTGTTGATGGCGTTGTTGTAGTGGTTGTGCTCGAAGTGGTGGTGGTGTTAGGCGCTACTGTTGTTGTAGTTGTAGTTGTAGGCGGAGTGATGGGCGTAGTAGTTTTCTTCGTAGTGGACGTGGTGGTTGTTGGTACAGTAGTCTTCTCGGTTGTCGTAGTCGTTGTTGTAGGAGCTGTGGTCGTATTCTTATCATCTGGCACAGGAACGGTAGTAACATCACCCGGCGTGGCTGTGGTTGTGGCCACCGGTCCAGTAGGTGTAGCTGCGAAACGAATATGTATACAAATTTCATCATATTTAGGTAGAAAGTTTTCCCCCGAATATCAATGCGATTTCTGCGTTCTTCCCCCCTCCCGCCTTCGCCCACAAACTTGACATTTGAATTGCAAATAAATACGCATATTCCCCTCCATATGTGCATATGTATGTGCATACATGCATGGAATTTTACCACACGCATACACCCACACCAATATGCAAACACGGATACATATGTACACGCACGCACATGAAAATATACATAATTAAATGAGATTTCCTTGTTCAATTCTTACCATCATCGCACAAGTTGCAGGAGAACAGGCCAACAAATAGGCACAAGATAAGGAATTTTGCCTGCCGATTCATTTTGCTGTTGTGTGGCTTTGTCGAGAAAACTGCACGTCCGACTTGTTTGTTTCGTTCCCCCAGAAGTATCGCCGAGAGCTATGAGATTGCTGTTTGACGGGGTCTGGAATTGCAATTGCCTGTGAAAAGTCGTGTCCCCAGTGGGATAGGGTATACAGCACTTAAATATGACTATTGCACAATTTCTGGAGAACTGATTTATTTCCTCACCAAAAAATTGAGACCAAAGCGCAATTAAAGAATGAATTTCAGTGTGACCGCGGATTTATCGTTAAAATATACCGTCCGACCCGCAGAAATATACCAAAATATACAGTCTAATTTTAAAAATATACAGTAAATATAATGACGAATTTTTCAAGTCCCATCATATTCCTCGTTTTTGATATTCGGTTTAATATTACTTGCTAACAAAGACCCTCAGTTCGATACCTATAATTTTATGAGATCATTAAAGCAATTTCCTACAGGAATTGCTAAACTTTTTCGTCTTTGTTGCCTTGCTTATAAAATAAGGTTTAAGAAAAACCGGTCAACACCAATTTCCAATAAATGTGTTTCCATACATGGTAACTACACGCTGACTACACATTTGCTACATGATAACTACATTTTTTTTAATTACCAAAGGCGACACCTAGAGGGGAAATGTGTACGTTTAAAAAATTGTTGACCGTTTTTTTTTCTCATATAAGCGCCAGTGTGAAAAACCTCCATTATCCACTCTTTGACATGCCTATTTTTCGGACATTTTTGAAAAAATTGAGATTTTGATGGCAAATGATCAGGAATTCGATGCTGATCACGAATTAGTATTCGATGAGGCCTGGGACATGGCTCAAAGTGGTCTTTCTACACGGATTCTACATTGGTGCATTGGACAAGAGGGTGAGTCCATAATGCATCTTACAATATACTCAAAAATTTTAGGACAAGTATTTATATTGCGAGGTGTGTGAGCTAGACGTGGTGACAAGAAAATATATACCAAAATATACCGTCTCATTTTAAAAATATACTGTTATGGAACTTGTTTCTCGTTTTTGATATTCCGTGGAATATTGCCAGCTAGATAGAACCCTCAGTCCTGCCCTCATAATTTTATCCAATTAACGAATCTATTTTCTACTTGACTGGATTATTTTAAACACTTGCTTTTATTGAATTTTGCGTAAAAAGAGGTTTTAGCGAAAAAGGTCAAACAAATAAAACGTAAGTGAGTAATCGTTCCAATTGCTAAATTTTAATATTCCGTTGAATATTGCTGAATATATTACATTTCAGTCAAAATACAATACATGCAACCACGATTACCCCATTGCAAGCCAAGGGAGTATTTTAATATTCCACCGAAAATAAAAAAAATTTTATAATTTTAGCGCAGTTCAGGTGAAAGATATCGCGGTTTTTTTTTTAAGTTCAGAGGAAAGATATCATGGTTCTACAAGAGGAATTTACAGTCGTTAATATTTTCCGCCATTTACCTCAAGTAGTTGAACTATTTAATAGAGGGGGCTGAAGTGGGCTAACGAGACGCTATATTGTTGTTAAGGAACCAAAATTGAGGCAAAAAAAATCAAAGCGAAGTATTTAAAATATGCCACTCAAGTAGAAAATTGATTCATGATTTGGATAAAGTTATGTGGGCAGGCTGAGGGTATTAGTTTGTCAACATTATTTCACGGAATATAAAAATCGAGGAATATGTATGATAGAACTTGAATTCGTAAGTATATTTACAGTATATTTTTAAAATGAGACAGTATACCTTGGTATATTTCAGAGAGTCGTTCACACTCACAGTTTACTCAGCCCCAGCAGCGAAATTAAATTTTCCATCTCTTTATGGACCCCGTGGATTTAAGATAAAAGCTCGCTTCAAGGAAACAGTGCAATAAGAAAAGATGACCTCGTACGTGCGCGCCATGTACGACTTCAGCGGCGAGCCTGGCTCGTCGGAGCTCTCCATTAACACGGGCGAAGTGTTGTCTGTGACGCGCATTGATGTGGGTGAAGGCTGGTGGGAGGGCAAAAACAGTCGCGGCCAGGTCGGGCTCTTTCCAGCGGCCTACGTGGAGGTGATGTCGGCAGCGGAGGCCCAGCGGCTGAATGGAGCCACTGCAACTCCAGTGCCCCCCGTGGCGGATCCCTTCGCAGCGCCAGCTCCGCCGCGCTACGACCAGACGGCCGACGACGATGGCAGCAATTGGGACGACGAGGATGACTGGAGCGATGACAACGATACCTACTCAGAGATTGGACCAAGCGGCCGCACCGCTGGCCAAGCAGCTCGCGCCGGCGGCCTCTCGCACTCCACCAGCGATTACGACAACAAGCATCTACCTGTTGCGCCCAGTGACGACACCCTGTCGCTGGCGTCCACAGCTGCCAGCACGGCCACCATGAAGAAGGGCATGTTCGCCAAGAGCTCCGACTCGTACATTCTGGGTCTATCCATCAACAAAGAGAAGATTCCTGACTGCGAGGTGGCGTACATCACACAGCTGGAGGACTCCATCTATCAGTGGACGCACAGCGGTACACCCTACTCAGTGATTGTGGCCAGCCCCAAGAAAGAGTCAAAATTCAAGGGAATGAAAACATTCATTGCCTACCAGCTGACGCCTAGCTTCAATAACATATCCGTAAGTGGTCTCGTATCCAGAACTGTGGCTCTCCGCTCTGCTATCGCCATGATTAACAACAATACGATAAAGCGCCTATTGCGTGTGGGGCTGATATTGTGTGTATTGGTGATGGGTCTGTTGGGGAACGGGACGGGACTGATAATTTGCTTCTTCACTCTTCCATACCGTGTCTGCTTGGGTGCAACTGCTTGGGTTGGGTCATGTGATACTGCCATTGGAAAATTTAGGATAACTCTGCAATGGTAACACCTTTCCTTATTACCAATCAACAGCAACTGATAGATTGAGTGTTAGTTAGGGTATTTCATCTTCGGTGTGCCATTCCCATGCAATGCCACAGCTGAGGCAATTTCTTTTTGTGGGGCATTTTCTGACTGGACTGACCAACTGGTAGCCAACGCCAGCGCCAATTCCATGATTGCTTTATGACTCAGCGCAGCGCAGCGTACACTCCGCTCCGCTCCGTTCCCCTCCCTCTCCGCGTCACCGTTGCTGTGTTACATTTTATTGTTTGTATCTAATCTGGGTTTCCCTTCCTTTATTTAGGTGTCGCGTCGCTACAAGCACTTTGATTGGCTGCACGAACGACTGGTGGATAAGTTCTGTTTGATCCCAGTGCCCCCGCTACCGGACAAGCAGATATCCGGACGCTATGAAGAGCAGTTTGTGGAGCATCGACGCGTCCAGCTACAGGAGTTTGTTGACTGGGTGTGTCGCCATCCGGTTATCTCGAAATGCGAGGTGTGGTACCATTTTCTCACCTGCCGGGACGAGAAGATCTGGAAGTCGGGCAAGCGTAAGGCGGAGAGGGATCCCTATGCGGGCGTCAACTACTGCCTGGCCATATCGCCGCCGGACAAGAATCTGCTGCACTCGAAAGTTGACGCCCAGCTGGAGAGTGGAGCACAGTTCATACACAGCATGGATGCGGCCGTGCGCAACCTCAACGGCATTTCCAACGACATGGCCAAGCGATCTATGTCACAGAGTAAAAAGGAATTCCAGCGCATTGGCGATGGTCTCTCCGAGCTGGCCAAGGCCCTAGCCATCGATGAGCGACGAGCACCCACACGCAATGCTGTCCCGCTCTCCGAGAGTGTGGGACGCATTGGCGGCATCTTCATTGGAGTTGGCCAGGCGTTCGGGGATCAGCCCAAGCATGATTGGATTCCACTCTCCGATCGTCTGCACATCTACAGGTTGGTTCTGCTTTCTTAATGCTTGTATATGCCTAAAATTGTAATTGTTTCCCATAAAGGGGCGTTCTGAGCTGTTTTCCGGACATATTCTCCACGCATAAGGGAGCCATACAGAAGCGCAAGGACTGCGAAAGATCGACGGCCGAGGGAAAGATGAGCAATGCCCAGCTGCAGGACGTAAACAGGCGTACTGATGTCGTCTCCTACACGGTGCTGGCTGAACTGACGCACTTCAAAGCCGAACGCGACACCCACTTGAAGCAAACGCTGAAGAACTTCATTGCTGAGCAGATCAAGTTCTATCAGGGTGTGGTGGCGCGTTTGCAGGAAGCCAACCGACAGATTGAATAATGGCACACCACGAAGCGTGGTCCAACAGAGGAAACAAACAAATGCACGTAGAGCACAAATTCCGAAAACATTCGCACGCGCGCATTTCAAATGCTTTAAGGTTAAATCTAAACTAAACGCGGTTTTAACATAAACGATAATGAGATATTCAGATAGGTGTTGTTTGTAAATGAAAAGTTGCGTATTTATACACACACAAAAGTTAAAGTTTATACTACGAGTATCCTAATCCCTATTATACACCTCCTCCGAGTAATTGAAATACAAATGCAAATATATATATATTTATACAAAACGCAACCAAACTCGAATTGATCTGATTGAAATGCTGAAAGGGAAAGTGAATGCCGAGATGTCAAGATCCCAAGATGCCAAGACGCCGATGCCCATGAAAAAGTCTCTCGTTTATTTATTTTTTGCTATTCTGTTGCCTTTATCAGCGAAATTCTCTAAAAGGGTTCTCTTTATTTTCCGCATTTCTCTCATTTCTCATGCCTTTTTCTCAGCTTGTTCTCTCATTAATAATTTTCGTGATTTATGCGTTTGGTTTGTATTGTATTGTTTTCCGTTTTTCGCCTAAAAACATAAATGTTAGATTGCACATTTTGGGGTTGATTTTTCCATTCCATTCCATCGTTGTTTCATAAATAATAAGCATAATAATAACTAGTATAAACACAAGAAAAAAAAAAATAAGTAATAGAAGTAGTAGAACATTTCGGAATGAATACAAAAATTGCTGTTTTGCCTTTTAGCGCTGCGATGGGACAGGATATTGGATATAACGTTGGGGATTGGGATTGGGTTAAGGGGTGGGGATGGGGATGGGGACGGGGACGGAGACTCCCCTAAGTGTAATACATCTAGATAAAAACGCTATGTACAGACCATACACGAGTTCATAATAATAATAATAATAATAATATAACGCAGCTTGAGATAATAATAATAATAGATTTTGGTTAACAATAATACAATAATTAGGTTTTTTTTTTCAATTTTCTTCTGCTTTTGTCTCTCTCTACTATAATATTTTTTTTTTTTTAGTTTTTATGTTGTTTTTTTTTATCCATTTTTTCTCTTCTCTTTTTTAACAAACTACCAATAACAAATTTTTACTAATTCAATTTAAGTTTTTTTGTTTTGTTGCATTTGTCTGCCTTTTTTTGTGTTCTGTTATAAATTATTGTTGTTGCTTTCCGGTTACCTTGTTTCTGTTGTTGTTGCTGTTGCATGTTCCTGTGTATGAAATTAAAGGAAAAATCATCATATCATGGTTTTATCCTTTAGCAATTCCTGGCGGTACTGCCTTCTCTATATATATAGTTAATGTATATAGAATCTGCCTATATGTTTATGTGTAATATGCAAGAGTTCCGATCGAGAACCTATGTATGTAGGCTCCATCTGTCCGTATAAAGCCGTCTAACCGTAGTCCCCGCCAAACCGTCCGTGCTTATTGCTGCCGTTGCCGCCCTGTGCCACCGATGCTGCTGCTGCTGCTGCAGCCGACGCCTGGGCAGCTTTCTCCGCCAGCAGTGCCGCCTTTTGCTGCATGTACGGATTGAAGTGCTGCATGTACATAGAAGCCGCTGCCGCCGCCGCATAATTGTTGGCATAGCTATTGCTCCGCTGGCTGTTGCTGCTGCTGCCATTGCTGGTCCATTGTTGTTGCTGTTGCTGCTGCTGTTGCTGCTGGTGGAGAAGATGCTGCTTCTGTTGTTGAAGTTGCTGCTGATGCTGTTGCACGTGCTGTTGCTGCTGTTGCTGTTGTGCATGCTGCTGCCAGTAGCCTTGCTCAGACATGTAGTTGGCGGCTGCCTCTGCGCCGCTCTCCTTCTGATAGAGATACGAATTGAGCAGGGACTCGCGGGCGGCGGCGGCTGCCGCCATCTGATTGTTCTGGAAAATATTCTCCATGGCCGCCGCCGATGCCGTGGGATAACAAAATTTGTTGCTACTATTGTTGCTGTTGCTGTGGTTTTGATTATTGGCTGGTGGATGTTGATGTTGCTGCTGTTGCTGCTGCAGCTTCGCATGGTAGTTGCTGTAGTCCGGCTGTTGCTCTTCGTAGCTGGCTGTCCGTGCGACCGATGCAGGTGCTGGCTCCTTGGGAGCCCGGCTTGACTGTCATTCGCCGGTAGCCGTCACTGTAGTCCACTGCCAGGGGCTGTTGTAACCCTGTTTTGGATTGCTGTTAAGAGAAGGGATTGCAATTAGGAGGAGTACTAGCGACGCCACAGATATTTACCTTCCGAATAGTGGATGCCAAAGCGCCGAGTTGGCATCCATTCCCCCCCCACTGGCAGCCGCTGCGGCAGCCTCAGCTAGTTGTTGCTGCTGCTGCTGTTGCTGGTGTTGCTGGTGGGCATCCTGGGCGACCATGCTACTCGTCGCACGCTTCCGCTGCTGCTGCGAGTGCTGCTGCTGCTGCTGAATCTGCTGCTTGGCCTGCTCCAGGGGATTGTAAGTAACGCAGGCCTTGCTGGAGCGCAGCAAGCGTCCAGTGCTCGCCTCCTTGGCCTGCTGCTGTTGCTGCTCCGGCCCCGTTTTGGGACCATGCCCTGCTACTGTTGGGCGACGCAGGGTGTCGAAGGGTACATTGAGCAGCGGTGCAATGGGCTCAGGCTCCAGCAGATTCGAAAGGGATTTGCACGTCAGTCGTGGCTTGTGTTCCGCCGGAGCCGGAGCCGATGCAGGAGCAGGGGCTGGAGAAGGCACTGCTGGAGCAGGCACAGCGGCAGGAGGAGCGGCAGCAGCTGCACTTGGCTTGGACTCGGGCTCCCGCCGGGGCCGCTTGTGCTCCTGGTGATGATGGTGGTGCGAAGAAGATGGGGCCGAGCCAGAGCCAGACACAGACGCATCTTTAGCCGCCTCCCAGTTGAGAAAATTTGGCATCTGCGGATGCAGCAACTTCTGCATGATGGCCAGCTCCATAGGATTGGCAAACCCATTGACCCCAAAAGCATTCGCGGATGCAGCTGCGGGGGGAACCGGCGGGGCTACAGCTACAGGCGGGTGCGGAGGATTGGGCACCGTCGCTGGAGTAGACACAGTCGGCTGCTCCCCCACTGCCTTCTGTTTGAGACAGTGCTTGTAGAGCTCGTCAAGGTGCTGCAGTCCAAACTGGCTGTTGTAAAGCGGAAGCAGGTTGCTCATGAACTTCCGCTGCATGGCCAGGGGATCCTTGATCGTCTTGAAAAGCTCCTGCGACAGCTGGCCAAAGTAGGGAAGCCACAGCATCTGCTGAAGCAAGGCCAAGGTGGTGGCATTCAGGTCCGTAGATGTGGACGTCGAAAGGCTGGAGTCAGCAGATGAGGGAGGAGTAGGTGCTACAGGAGCGGCCACCACCGGTGGCTTAGGCTGAGGCTGATGCAAAGGTCCCTGTGCCTGTGCTTTGTGTGGCTGCGTGTGCTTGGGGCTCGGACTCGGACTTGGACTCCTGGCCTTGCTCAACGGAGGATGATGCTCTGCGATCATCTCCACTGGATTGGGACCCTGGGCGGCCTTGGCCTGTTCCGCCTCGGTTTTCAATATAGCCTCCAGCTGCTCCATGGTTACAACCAGGATGTTGGGGTTCTGGATAATCTCCGGATAGGCAAACGCCTCCGGCAGCCGCAGCTCTGGCCGGGTGGTCAGCAGCAGGGGAATCTCTCGGGCCGGGGAGGCCAGCACGGCTCCCAGTCGATCCTTTGGCACGAGTATCGGATCGGGCACCTTCCACTGCGGATTGCTGATCAGCATCTTCAACTGGGTGAGGGCGTCGGGGTCCTTGTCCATCTTTATGCTGGCCTTGGGTCGCTTCTTCAGCGGCTGGTTAGACTCCCCATCCTCCTCGTCGTCGTCGTGGATGACGACTGTCTCCAGCTTGCCTTCTCGACCCGCCTTCCCCAGATCCATCGGCTCCGCCTGCTGTGCCTGTTGCTGGTTGCCGTTCAGCTTGAGGAATTGCTCTAGAATGAGATTTTTTATCGTCTCCGAGGTGGTCTCCACCTCCGCTGGGATGGAGTTGACTGGCAGCTGCAGCACCCGCTCGGGCGACTTGAGTATATCCGAGCTGGAGGTCACCGCGCACTGACTGCGCGACTCCGATGGCGGACACACCTCCTCGCGCTTCTTGTAGCTCAGATCCTTGGGCGCCTCATCGGCAGAGGCGGCGGCCGCTGTTTGTTTTTCCATCTCCGGCATCGGTGGCGTCGGCGTCGGTGTGGGAGTGGGTGTGGGCGTCTGTGTCAGCTCCACGGTGGCAGGCGTTGCCGGTTGCGGCTGCTCCGTGCGTGCCATCTCCTCCTGCTGTTTCTCGAAGGCTGCAATCCCAAGGAAGAGTTCTCCGTTCAGTCCCTCGATCTCCCCGGCCTCGTTGAACGACAGGCACTTGGGTGCATCATCATCGTCGTTGTTCATGTGTAGGATGCTGGGCAGGTCCTTGCCCAGATCGGCCACGCAGAACGAGCCCAAACCGTCGTCGGCCGCCGTGACGTCGCCTTCCACGGATGTTGAGGCACCATTGGCTGGACCACTCGCCTGAACCAGGTTGTCCTCGCAGCTCCTCTTCACCAGGGAGTCGAGCAGATCGGCCCCGCTGCTGCCATTGTCGCTGCTGCAGTTCTGGAGCAGATCATCGGCATCGTCCAGGAGATCTTTCAGATTCTTTGTATTGCAATCGAGACTTTCGACGGTATCGGCTCCTCCGTTCTCGGCCAAGGACTTGTCGGCCTCGCTGGACGCCGCTGTGGCTGAGGTCATGGCCATGGCCGCGGCCGCGGCCGCCAGTTGCCCTTGGGGCAGGAACAGCCCCGTTTTGGGACACAGCTGCAGTTCCATGGGCGAGGGCGTGGAACTCTGATATGTGGGCGTGTTGGTCTTGGTTGCCTTGGTGGAGGCATTTGTGTCCTCGCCATCGAGTAGCAGACCATCAAAGCAGTCAGTAGGCGTGGACGAGGGCGTCGCTGGCGGTTGCGGCTGTTGGGCAGCTGGTCGGACCACAACATTCTCAATCACCGCAGCCAGATTGTCATGCTGCTCCTGGTCGTCCTGCACCTCCTCCTCTTGCTCCAGCTCCTCCCGTTCATCATCGTCCAACTCTGGCAGCTGAGTGGCACCACTGTCCTCCCAGTCGTGCAGGAGACTCTGAGCTACATTGGGGATCTGCATCTGCATCTGCTGCTGCTGCTCCTCCACAAGTTCTGGCTCTGGCTCTTGCTCCGCCTGTCCATGTTCCTGCTCGTGCACCAGCTCATTTTCGAGATGCTGCTCATGTTGCTGTTCACGTTTGACCTTCATCAAGGGTGCGGCAGAGCCGTGGAAGAATTTGACTATCCTAGTGGAGGAGGCATCTGTGCGCGGCATGGATCGCCAGCCATTTGTGGTCTTGGTGAGGCGGATCCGATTCCTCTTGTCGTAGTCCTCGCAGCGCACCTCAACGATTCTGGTGTCGTCCTGCTTGACCCACAGGAAAATGGGATTGACGCTGGGCGTCGTGGGGGGAGTGGGAAGATTAGTAGAAACAGTAGCGGGAGTCGTAGCTGGAGCGGGAGCTGCTGCAGGAGCAGGGGTTCGAGCATAAACGGGACGATGGCCAGATGCTGGCGGCAATGATGATGCTGAATGATGATGCGCCTCCTCCCTCCGCTCCGTAGGCGGAGCCGGCTCTGTTCGGGCTCTAGATGGTGCTGCATTTGATGCTGGTGCTGTTTTGGTTTCAATTTTCACTGCTGCCACTCGGGAGAGCGGCAGTGGCTTGGCTGGCTCCTTGGCTGCTGGCTGCTTGGGCTGCTGAGAAAAAGGCGGCGCTGGCTTCACTGCAGATGGCGCCGCAGGTGGCACCAGTGCCACTGGCTCTGCCACAACGGAGCTGCTGCTGCACTTTGGTTCTGTTTTGATCTCACGCAATAGGTTCTTGTTGATGCGCGGGGTGTTGGCTACCTTGAGGTGGCCAAACTTTCGCTTGGCCCGCGAGTTCTTGCCGCGCGCTCCCTTGCCACGACGTCGGGTCGGCTGCTCCTCAAAGACCAGGAAGATATCGCGGGCTACTCTTCGGCGCTCCGACTTCCTGTGGCAGACAGGTGGCGCTGCCTCGAACTCCTGTTTGACGATGCCGACACCCCCGCACTCGTTGCTCGCATCCTGGTTGTCGTCCTGGTTACCGTTACCGTTACCATTGTTGTCATCGTTGTCGTTGCCGTTACCGTTAGCTACGCATCCACTTGGCCCGCAAGTGTTTCTTGGCATTTTACGGCCGGCCGCGGCGCCTTTTGCGTCTACGTTAGTGTGGAAAAACGATTGTCATTTTATTTGATTTTCTCCCTATTGCATTTTCCCCTGCTTTTGCTATTGCTCTGTACTTTTTTTCTGCCTCTTGCTTTTCCTTTTGCACCCGTATGCCTTTTTCTCTCGCGCTTCTCTCTCTCTTTTCCTCTGATTGGGAGCAGAGTTCTGATTGGCAGTGCAACTACTCGAGGCACAGTTTGTTCACATCGATTTCATTGCTGCTACCATGCACTTGCCCCACCAGCGTTTCTAATTCAGTTAACTTTACTTTAATATTTTGCTGCTGTGCTGCTATGCGATGTTTTTTTTACGTTGACAAAATCAATGAATTTTGTATATACAGCAGTGTGACCGCGGGCTTATCGATAAAATATACCGTCTGACCCTCAGAAATATACCGCAATATACCGTCTAATTTTCAAAATATAGCTTTTTGGTCGGCCAAATCAGGGATGATATTCGCATGGAAACTTATTTGTCTACGTATTCGTATTTGGCATGAGTATAATAAAATTGAATCTAATTAGTCGAATGAAAGCTGATTGTGGGGATATTATAAATTATGAAATTTATTTCAATTATATGGAGATAAAAAACACGTTATTTGCATTATTTCTGTCCCAAAAGGACGAATTAATCCAATATTGAGGTGCTTTCTTTGTGCATTCTCGACTCCAGCGCTACAGCGCCCTGAAACAATACCATTCATTCTTGCTTGATTTCATAAAAAATTTGAATTGTTAACAAAATTTTATTTGTAAGCAAATTGACAAATTAGTTCAGAGCAACATTTGAAGTTGGGTAAAATTAAATTATGAACTATAAAACTATAATAGATTACTTATCAAAACAGCACAAGCTTAATTAATCTGGTAATGGTGAAAATTAAATGTTAATTCTTTTGGATTTAAGATTCGTTTTGTTGTATATAATGCCATTTAGGTGTCGTCTTTTGCGACAACGAGAGAACAAATTTTTCCGTTTTCAAACTGTTTTGGTGCAGTTCACAGTAAACGAACTAACAAGCGAAATAAAACAGACAATTTAACTTCAAATTGGGAGAGTTATGGTTAGTTCCCTTAATTATTAAATTTTTTTTTATATTCTACGAAAAGCTTTTCGCACGATCACTATCGTCTATCGATTGTCCTACTGGCAGTTTTTCAGGGGGACCGTTTGCGGTACACTATATACTTTTTGGTAAAATTTGGTATATTTGATCAACTTTGTGGTATATTACGGTATATTACAATACAGGTCAAAATATAATAGTATCCAAACTAGCGGTATATTTGATCGTTATTGCCGCGGTCCCACTAAATTCATTGTTGTTGTTCTGATTGGACCCCGATCTTCTCGCGGCCGCTAATAAAAAATCTCTTATTTCTCGTACATATATATATGTATATATCTTATAGCACAGTGACATTTTTTTATACGAAAACTGCATACTGCATGCGATTGTAGCCGTGTCCGGGAGTGTCCGTGTGCGTGGGTGTGTGAATATACTATAAAATGGATACAAATACAAGCAGCAGTGAGGAGAAGCAAGAACAGCACTACTACCAGCACACCTGGAAGTTGGCCAATAACCATGGAAATTCGTTATCAGACAGCCGGGATTACGATACGAATTCGTCGCGCACATCGCTGTCGGGCTCGCCACCCGCCACTGCGTCATCGTCGGAGCTGCAGCTCGATTTCGCCAGCTTCGAGAGGAAACCGCTGGCATCGCTGCTGATGCCCAAACTGGAATCGGACGACCGCTCGGCGGGCGTCATACACAGCGACATCTTGAGCATTTATGGCCTTCCGACATCGGCATCGGTTGCATCCACGGCTGGCTCCACCAATGGCGAGCAACAGGTGCTGAGTCCAATAGAATTAGGTTTGACGCTCGAGACAGACGACCATGAGATGTCGACGGCGGCCACATACGCCCTGTTCGCAGACGTCCCGCAGGCGCAGACACAAACCATCATTAAAATGGACGAGCGGGAGGACGATAACTACGACGACGATGTGTTCACACTGCGCCCCCTCACAAGTTCATCCTCTATGGGCCCCGATCCGGGCCAGCTCACACTCACGCCCCTGCCCATCACGGTCATACCCATCACATATCACCACCACCACCACACAGAAACCATAGCCACTAGCCTCAACGAAGTCCCTCTGATAGCCACCGTCAGCACAGAGGACAGCAGCAGCCAGGTCTACAACCTGGACGATATTTGCTTCACGCTGGAATATCAGTTCCAGAACCAAAAGCTCGTCCAGGTCCAGCCGCCAACTGTGGTGTCCTTGAGCATGCTAACCACATCCGAGGCGCTACCAGAAGCAACAACTACGCACTGTGATAATGGACACACCAATACCAACAGCATCAGCAGCAACCACAACTCGGGATCATCGGAGCCCACTTCCCCGGCATATTTCACTATTGAGACGAGGTAGTCCCTTCGAAAAGATCCTTTACATATAATCCCCCGCTGCACGCTTTAATATTATGGAGTATTTTTAGAATTGTTTGTGCAGTTTTCCAATTATAATGTGCCGTCGTCAGGTGTGTGCTCTGACCCCCGCCCAGGGCCATGCCTTCAGTGGCGCGGCTGCCACTGCCGATGCCGATGCCGCTGCCTTAATTTTTCCACTGCCCACACAGAAAATAGCGTCTGCCGTGACGTGTCTGGTCTTTTTTTGTTTGGCTCCCTCCCCTTAAAACATAAAAAGAATAACAGAAAAGCAGAAAACTACATTTTCAGATTTTTCCTTTTACTTGTCGAAAATTTGGCAAATTTCAACCATTCCAATGTGTCCGCCGCTCTGCTTATTACAACGGGCAGCGTCCGCTGTCCGCCAAAGTGTCCAAAGTGTTTGCATGTTGTTGCTAATTGCCTGATTTGTGTGCGTCCCACCCCTCCTCCTCCACCTCCTACTCGAATCCCTTTTCGATATTCGAATGGGAAATTTCCCATGGGGAATTATTCTAACGGTGCATGCTGCGGCTGCGGATGCTCTACTTCAGCTTTTTCTGCTGCTAGCGATGGACAATGATGATGATTGTATCGAAATCGTTTGTTTGGTCTAAAAATAGTTGCGCCGATGAACGCATTTAGATTTCTTTCCCCCCACCCATCCAACCAACCATCCACCCACCACCTAATCATACCATATATCTATGTATATATGTATGGTATATATGAACATACATACATATGTATGTATGTCTCCTTATATTTATTTGTACAATGTGTTAGCTCTAGGCAGAAACGCTTGGATTTTTCCCCAAAAATTCTTTCACACTTGGTGTAAAACAGAAGCCGAGTCGAGCCGGTTTTCAAATTACAGTAAATTCGAAACGAAACAAACCCATTGTGAAATAGTACTGCCCCCTGCACTAGAACATTCTTCCCTGTAAAAGTTCGATTTACTGAAAGACAGGACAGGGAAAGTGACGAGCACTTAAGCACTATGTACATATGTATGTGCGATAGAGGGAATTCTATTTATATTATTGGGCAAAGGGTGTAGTTCGGAAAGGCCTAATCCAAACTAAGTGGTAGTCAAGCGCAATTATAATTCGATTTATTTTTGTAATAGACATCACTTTTCATTTCAACAAATCAATTTTTAACAGCGAAATCAAACTACGTGGCAAAGGGCTAAGACCGGATCGGTAGTCCAAATTGTCTAAATTCATTTGTTTCCAAATCAGTTGCTGATAAGCAATAAACTTTGAGTGGATTACAGTGTGCTTTCCGAGATTTCCAATAGATTGCTATTAATAATTGTATGGAAAATTCCATCCGATTTCTGGACACTTCTTAAAATAGGAATTCATCTAGCTTTTACATCGAATACGAATTAATTGCGGCTGTTTTCTAAATGATCTCTAGTGATTAGGGTTACTTCACATTCGCCTACATTGTCGCTTCTCTTGTTTTCTCGAGTGCAATCATTTTTCAATTTTTCATCCACATTGTACTATGTGTGTGTGTGTGCGTGTGTGTGTTTTGGTCTGCGCCTTCCTTCCGCGTTCCTCCCCTTGCCAATGACTGGCTGGCTGGCTGTTTGGCGACGACGACTCTCTACTATTTTTATCCCTATGAGTAGTGTTCCCTCAATCATATTTCTCATTTTTCAACAGTCCCCCCGGCAGCCGCGGGGCTGTGTGCCAGGGAGTGGCATCTCGTGAGGATTGGGCAAGGGAGGGCTGAGAGCGCGCGCTGCCCGTCAGCAGAACGCCAGAATGCCAGCCGGACCCAGCCCGGTCCGGTCCGGCCCGACCCGCCGTCGTAGTGCCCACGCACTCACATCCCCGTATTATTATTTCTCTATAGTTTCTGTGGCCGTTCGTTCTGTCGTCTGTTTTCCTTGGTATTTGTTGTGTGTTTTGACCATGACAACATTAAATATTAATTAATCTGTTTATTAATGCCCACAAAGAGACATGTTTTTTGCAGATAAATGGGTTTTCTCCCCCATTCTGTTATTCGTCAGCTATTTTCCATTGATTGCTATTGTTTTTCCGTTGTTTTTGTTTTTTGCTGCCGCTCTAACCCCACTACTAATCGCAATCTGTGCAGTACATATGCATGAATATATACATATATATGTACAATGTGTATATACTAGTTGCGTTTCATATTGTATATACAAGATTTTAACGGCCCACTGACACCAAATTGAATTGCCCCGCCCGATGCGATTTTCCATTTGTTTCCAACTGCCGCCCGAGCGAATCCATTAAATGTTTCTCTATTTTCCCCGCTGTGGATCTAATCTTCTCCAGCTATGTCGATGATTATGATCAGAACGAGCCGGACGAGGACAATGATTTGGCTCGCTGCATACGCCCAGAGGCCCTGCACAAGGAGGGCGAAAGAGAGGATGACGATCAGCTCATGGCCATGGGATACGAGGTACACACCCCCCTTATAGCAGCAGCCATATATTTTTTCCAACTGTCTAACGTGTTGCCGTGTGCCTAACGCTTTTTGTAGCGACTCGCCGCCATTCTAATCGTAGCGTGAAGCCCGCTAGACTGCTCCATTGCCGCTATTCCGTTGTTGTTGTAGGCGTGTGTAACCAAGTTTGTTAGCCAATCCGCGGTGCGTAGTGTTTGCTTTATTCAGACTCAGATTCGGGTCTGGCTGGACATCCTGCTAGACTCTCATGTCTATCCACTAAACACAACACTCATCCTGCATGAACCATCCAATGACAGCCCACGACTTTGTACATGCATATGTAACTATATATTTTATGTA